AACCCCAGAAACACAAATCCTAAACCCCACAGATCACAGACCTAAACCCATTGGGGGCAAGAACCGAAACCCCAAACTTTAAACCCTGAAACCCCAAACACGTTAAACCCTAAACCCTTAAACCACTCAACCGAGAGCGGGGGAAGCCTCTAAACCCCACACTTCAAAACCCTAAACCCGTCAATAAAACCTAAACCCCTGAACCCCTAAACCCCCAAAACCCCAAACCCCAAAACCACTGAACCCTAAACCCCTAAAACCCTCTAAACCCCTAAACCACTAGACACTGAACCTCCCCGCCCCAAAGGTCGCCCGTTTGCACCTTCAGGCCGCGACCCGTCTTCATCCAGCTCTTTCCTGGCTGTATGAAGAAGGGTTTAGGGTTTCCTTTTTTTGGGGGTTTAGGGTTTAGGGTGGTTTAAGGGTTCAGGGTTTAGGGGGTAGGGTTTAGGAGTTTAGGGTTTAGGGCGTAGGGGGTTTATGGGTTTAGGGCCATCTCCTCCTGCAACACATAAGGACTTCAACATGTTGGACTGGACAGTTAACAGGCACAATAAACCAACTTAACTTTAACCTGCCAGCCTTGGCCGCGGAGGTGGCCAATCTTTTCTTTTTTCGGAGTCCGACTCCGTGGCCGACGTCGCAATCATCTCCGCGACGACGTAGCTGTCCTCCTCGGCGCCGTCCTGGCTCTCGACTGCCGGCTCTGAGGTCTGCGAGGACGAGGTCACGCGCCAACTTTCCAGGCAGCCTGACACCAGAGCCCGGACTTCGGGATGCTCTTCCCTGCCAGCGCTCTGCGTCGCCTTGAAGAAGCTTGGATCGTGGACCCCTGCTTGGATCGCGTTGATCGTCTTGACCATCGAAGCAAAGGACGGGGCCGAGGACGAGGGCAGAGAGGACGAGGACGACATCTCCCCGATGGTGGTTTAGGTTTAGGGGGTAGGGTTTAGGGGGTTTAGGGGGTTTAGGGGTTTAGGGTTGTTTAGGGGTTTGGGGTTTAGGGTTTAGCAGGATTTCAGGCTTTGGACTGTAGTAGGGTTTAGGATGATTTAGGGCCCTCTTTCTGTCGTATTAGGGGCTTAGGGTTTAGGGGCTTAGTGTCCAGGCCTAGTTTGCTATCCGGTTCAGGTTGGGATTTAGGGCGCAAGGGTTTAAGGGTGAAGGGGTTTAGGGATGATTTAATTTTAGGGTTAAGGTCTTAGGGATAGTTCCCGGCTTGGGGGCAGTTTAGGGTGCGGAGTTGATAAGAACAAATACTACCCAGGAGTTACTCGAGGAAGGGTGTCCTGGGAGTCAAACTACGGGCTTAGACTCCTGTTGCTCTTCCGCCTAAAGACATCGGTGTGTTACCGCCCCGAAGCCGAAACCCTAAAGCCTGAACCCTAAACCCTCAAGACGAGGATCCATAGAAATTGTACACTCTGCAGCCCAGCCCAATTTTGACCCAGCCCAGCCGGAGGCCGAGCCAGCCCAGCCCAATCCCAAAATCAAAGAACATCGAAAAGAAAAAACCGTTCAACACTTTCGGTCGAAACCCCAGGCCCAAACCCTGTACAATTGTTGTTTACCATCAAGAACGAAATAAACAGGAGTTGCAGTTGGCCCTGTAGAATTAGAATGGGGGTGGTTACTATACTGTAGTTATAACATAACAAGCTACAACAAGGCCCGGTTTCGAGCTTTGGGTTTGGAAGGTGCGGACATTCCTGAAACATAAATCCTAAAAATCATCAGACATCAGACCCTACGCCCTAAGCCACGAATCCCTAAACCTGTATGGGAACCCATAATAAAGAAGCCGTTACAAAGTTATAGGGACCGCTTAAACTAGGGACCGCTTGAAACAAAGCCAACGCATCTTCCCAGCACAAGGCATCACGAGGTTGAAACGAGGCGCGGATGTCGACGGCAAGCCGGAAGACAACGCCCTCTACCTTCGTTCCAAGACCAGAGTCTTGGGTGGCCTAGGCTACCATACTTAGTGTAAAGACTATGATAGCATAATTGAAAGTTATCCTACTGTTAACTGTTTGGGCTTCTACATTGTCTTTTTCGCGCAGTTCGGCTTATAGGGTTCAAGGATTGGGGGAGTGTGACGCTTTAGAACCAAAGGCTCGAGGGTTTAGATTGTTGAGGCCTTAAACTAAAGCTACTCTGGAACACTAGCAACTGAGCCGATACCAGGTCCTCCAAATCCTGAAGACTCCCTTAGCGGCATATTGGTGTCGATAGCGGAAAACCTCAAAGCCTATACCTGTTACTCGGGAGACCTAGAACTCTAGACTCAAACCCAAAACCCTAGGCCGGGGTTGTGTAGGTCTTTAGGGGCGGGAGGCTTTTGGTTCGGGGCTCTTCAAGACTTTGCTCAAAGAACCTTGGGGTTTGTGGCCTGGGTGGCTGACCGAGGCTGGGTTGGGACTGGCGCGGCTTGGAATTGGGCTAAGAATGCCTCATACTCAGAGTATCCTCACGGAACAGATCCTTGTAGATCTCTCGTAGAGCCCTAACAGAACCTTTACAGCCTCAGTATAGTGGTCTTGGAATCTCCTCGCACAACCTTAATGAAAATTCGAAACTAATGAAGATGCACATCGAAGTGAAATTCAGCGAACTTCCATGTATCCTGTTCTTGAGGGCTCAGGGTTTAAGGTTTAGGGCCTAAGGTTCAGGGCCGAGAATTTCGTGCCTCCACTGCGTCTGAAATTGTTAAACAACGGATTGAAATTTCGCTGAACTCAGGATCTTAGATCTCTTCGAAATCAAGATTTACAGATAGTATTTGAACTCAGGATCTTGGATCTCTTCGAAATCAGCGACTGTAAGTCTCTCTTCTCCAAGCCCCATTCCCACAACACTCAGCCCTGGACCCTAAACTTTCAAACCGTCCGAACTTCAATCGAAATCGGGCGGCCGCGTCGACCACCTGCCGAAGCTGCGCGCAGGGCCAACTGCCGACGGGGTCCGCCTCTTTGTTTGGTTTATAGGGTTTACGGCTTACTTCAACCTCAAACATTCTAAGGCTCCTTATAATGATTTCCTTGTATATAAATGCCTATAACCCCTTCTCAACGCTTTCCGCATGCCCTTGTGCGCCTTTCGCACGCGTTACACACCACACCTTTCCCTGCTTGGCTGCCTAACCTGCATCTGACAAAGCTTTCGACACTTTGCGACGGGCCATGTTCTTCAATTTTCAGAACTACTGACATTTGGGATGTGTCGGTCTCGTCACAAAGGATGTTCCACAGGCTGCCCGGATTCATATTGCTAGGTTCCTTGTTATAGCTATAGTATGATACCAAAACCCTAAAGGCCGCTGTTAAGGCATCAAGCCAGTCTTGGAAAAGCCTCGTCGAGGACATGGCGGTCGAGGACATGGTGGTTGGAAGGCAGAAACGCCATTCGCTTCCAACAGACACGGAGCTCTTGCGCACGCCTTTCGCGTACTCCTACGTGCGATTTGTTTTGGAACTCCAGAATTCCGAAATGTCTGTTAGATCTGTTTCCGAGTTACATATGAGACTTCAGGTTTGCACAGCGCATACAGTAAGTTCATGATTTTTCGCGCCGCCTTTCGCAATGCCTTCGCACACCAACCGCGCACCGGCAAACTGCAGATTCTGGAACGACCGGGCATGAACTTCTAGCTTTGGCAATGCAGGGCTGAGGAAGTCACGGTCGGTCGGATGATTCGGGAGCATTTTTGCTTTGGCTCAGGTTGTAACTTTTCCGGAACCCCTCAACCCTTAACTCCGTCTCGTCAGGGCCCGTGCACTTGGAAACCTGAAGCTCAAGCAAAAAGCGGGGAAAGGGGAGCTCAGGCCTTTGAGTCTTCGTTGTTTGACATTGTTTTCGCCGTATTTGGTTGCTTTGTGGCTACGTTACGTTGTATAGGGAGGGGCCTTTTCCCCAAATCCCCCAATCCTGGCGCCTGGCTGACATCCAAAGCATCCTGAAGCTGATGTAGGAGGACAACGAGCTCGGTCATCTGGCCCTGAGACGGTCTGGTGGCTTGATCTTTCGGGGTTTGAGTGTTGGGGCTTGGTTCAGGGTTTAGGGCTTGCGGGGTACCGGGAGTAGGTGTCCGGGGTTGGGGCTGCTTGTCAGCTGCGTTTTTTTCGGGGTGCATCTCTTCCAATGCTTGAAGAAAGAGCAACAAGCTGGGGGTGCGTGCGGCGAGACCGATTTCCCAATTCTACAGAAAACCATACAAGCTGTAATTCCCATTGACATCCGGCCGCCACAACGCTGTGTCTCTCTCTGCCTCTCTGCCTCTCTGTCATACCCTGTTCTGAACTACCAACCGTTGGCCGCATGTTTTGTCAGCATGTCGTGCGACGGGTTGCTTCTCCCTCAAAGAACTTCACCGGACTTAGCTAGTAGCGGACACGATGAACGTGCCTGGTGCTCGTGTGCCCTTGCGATCATATGGCGCTTGATGCAGTCGACAACCTGGCATCGAACTTCATATTCGCATCACCCTCGAGGCAATGTGGGGGCCTTAGCAGTTGGAATAGGGTTTGTTTGCTGTTTATTATATATATATATACATATGTATATATATATATATATATCTGTATTATGAGGAACCCTAAGGAATAACAAAGGCAATGTTTGGGGTTCTATATTCTGGGCGAACGCTCGCTAGTAGTATAGTGCAGGGCTCTCGTCGACACTTTTCCGCAACCATCTGAATCCTAAACTGATTTTGGTCATAAACCCTAAACCCTAAACCCTAAACCCTAAACCCTAAACCCTAAACCCATCCTTTCAAGGACTATGAAACGAAACAACAAAGATTCACTACAAATGACTTTCCAGGTACAGCGGAAAGGCTGACGACATCCCATTCCACCACCAAGACCCCCAAGCCCTCAACTCTGGCTCTAAACCCCATGCCCTGGAGTCAAGGACACGTAAAAGTCTAAAATGCTGAGGCTTTACCCCAAGGGTCCAAAGGACCCAATAATTAGGTACTCGGGTTTGGCATAGTAGTCATGTAGGTTAGGATTTTGGAAAGTATATGATAATAAGGTGCTTGGACCCTCAGGGTTACTGCCCTGCAGTTTTGGGAGGTCTCCCCTAAGCCTCGAAAGGGCTTTCACTCATGCCTCAACCCTGAAAGCTGTCTGTTTCTACACCCCGCGACCTTCAACCCCCAAACCCAAAATTCCCTTGTAATTCAAGTACCCCAAACCCTTCAACACCAAACTGGTAATCCTAAACCTTAAACCCTAAACCTAAAACCCCAAAGCCCATCCCTGAACCTTAAACTTATACTTGCCTGAAGCCAGATGCCGTCGTCCTTCGAGCCCACTTCTTGAACCAGCTGCTCCGCGTAAGTCAGAGCCTGGGATCGTGGAGTGTCGGGTTTACGCTTTAGTGTTTGGGGCTTTAGGATTTAAGTTTCAGGGTCCAAGTCTGTCGTGCACCGTGCTTTAGTGTTGCCCATTATTGTCGGATTCTCTGTCTGTGCCATGTTCTATTTTTTCCTGTTTTCATACGGCCTCAGGGCCTAACTAGGGCTTGGGATGTCCTTCAAGATTCTTTTGGCTGGGCGTTCCGGGTTTGAGGGTTGAGGGGTGCTGGTTGGGCTGTCGAGTCTGGGGTTTACCTGCGCAAGACAAGGTGGTGGAAGCTGATTTCTAAAGAGGAGGGGGAGGGGCCTTGCGGAGACAAGTAAAGACTTCGAAGCCGGCAGTGATGCTACAATGTCATCGGCACGCCTATCTTCGCATCTCTTCGTCGTAGCTGCGAAAAAGGTGCCCCGTCAAGTCTAGTAAAACTAGCAGGGTTTAACGAGCTCTAATCACGTATCCTGACTTTCTGACGCCGACAAGCTGAACCTCTTCAGTTGCAACCTGTGGGTGATGCCCCGACATGGGGGTGCACGGCTTTGGAAAAGGTGGTTGCAAGCGCCACTCGTGAACCTTGAACACCAACCCCTGCAGCCACCAACTCCCTGTACCTGCCCCCTTCCAATAACCCCGGCCTAATGCGACCCCAAACTCTCAACTCTGGCAAAACTTCCGCAAATCCGAAACTCTTCCACCCGAAGGACTTATATCAAGAACTCAGAAGCCCTAAACCCAAGAAGCTCTAGATCTGATTTCGCCACGCTGCACAGAGACCTCGATGGTTCTGATGGCAGAGTTGCTGCAAGCTGAATCCTCGGCTCTGCTTGAATGTTGCCAGCCGTCAAGGCTTAGGGTTTGGTGTGTGCGTGTGTGTGTGTGTTTTATTTTAGCCGTCTTTTCCTCAGCCGGTTCAGGTGGCATTCCAGGGTTTGGTGTTTGGGCTTTAGGGTTTGGGCTTTCCGGCAGTACGTGAGCGGTTCTTGCTACTGCTACTACCGGCCACATCTAAGCAGCGTTTACCATAAAGCAAGACCCCTGTAACGACCCTAAGCCCTGAACCCTAAGCCGTTTTGACCCCAAAGCCTTTAAACCCTAAGCCCAATGCCATGTCCTAACAACTTCACCCAGGTGCGCTCGGCGAGTGCCATGCAAAGCAGAGCTTCGCTTCGAGGCTTCGCAGCGGCTGCATCCTGAACGGTTTAGGGTCTAGGGCCTAAAGTCTAGGGCTTATGCCCTAACCCTCCCCCCAAAAAACAATTAGTTCAAACAATGGCCCAACACTGTGCGGTGTTATGGCAGGTCTTGACTTCATTCAGTGTTTCCGATCGAAGCATCTGAACTGGGAGTTTCGGTGGGTTCAGCAGCCTAAACACGGTCACCTCAGTCTTACCGGAGATGGTCAGTCTCATTCGCTTCCCGATGGCTCTTCGTCATCAATCTCCTCGACTCTGAGGGCATCCCCCGACTCCTTCTTGTCGCCTCACAACTACCTCATCTTCCCAAAACCTACCTTTTTTTTTTGTAGGGTCCCTATATTCTCCATATTAGGGGTTTATAATAAGAACCTACAAAAAAGTAGGGTTTGGTAGTTTAAGGTAAGGACAACTTTGGCTCAACATAATCGCCCCTAGCCATGCACTTCTTCATCAGCCTTCGTCCATGACACGGCCAGTGTTCCGAGAGCTCTTGTGTCTATTTTGTAAGCATGGTTTAGGTTTAGGGGTTTAGGGGTTTAGGGTTTAGGGTTTCAGAGTTTGAATGTTTTCCTTGATGCGGCTTATGGAGTTTAGGGCTTCGGGTCCGGCTGCCTGTAGTTGTGTTTAGCCCTTTCGTCCTTCAGCGGTGGGATCTGCAGAAGATGCTGCAAGAAGGTGCAGCCGCCAAAGAGGGTCACGTCCCACATGCTTGGGCACACCTGCCCAGGAGGTGGTGGAGGAACTAGTTGGGTTCAGGTTTCACTGCGATGTGCAGCCATGTATGTTTCTGCAGACTCTTGTTTTTAGGGGGCATACCTTAACAACACCCAGAATTCAGAGTCTAACAGAGTCTCTCAAACCTCTGCTGGACAGCGGCCATCCGCTGCAGTTGGCCTGGGTCCTAGCCAGAAAACAAGTCAATCAGCCTCAACAGTGAACCACAGTGGAGAGGCAAAGTATGTGCTCCTTGGTTCAACTTCGCTTGGCGAAAGCTCAAGGGGAGCAACGGCTCAGGGTTGAGGGTACCTAAACCGCCTCCCTAAACCCTAAACCCCAAACCCCAAACCCTAAACCCGAAACCCCAAACCCTAAACCCAAAAGCCCTGAAGATCGTGGCCTTATACCGCTCCAGCAGGGCCAGGCCGACTTCAGCATGCGACCTCCGCCGTAAGGAACAACCTCAAAGCCCTAAATCCCAAAACCGCTTAGACCCAAACCCCCAAATCCTAAACTCTAGGGTTTATAGGTTTAAGGTTTAGGGTTTCTAAACCCTACGCCCTATAGACCCCCCTCCACCCCCCCAAAAAAAAAAACGTAAAATAGCCGTTGCTAGGAGCCTCCCAAGAGGCCTCCGAAACTTCAGCGCCCCAAAGGGTGATCCCCTAAACCCTTCTAGGGTTTAAGGTTTAGGGGTTGAGGGTTTAGGGTTTCGGGAGGGTTTAGAGGTTGAGGGGTTTAGTTTAGGGTTTAGGGCGTCATCTTGCTTGACTTTATATGGTTGTACAAGTCTTCTACAAGGCTTCTTACGGTCTGCTAGGGGATAATTTCAACCATTCAACACAGCAAGTCCGTTCTTAGATTCTTGGTCCGGCAGATTTCGGGTTGTGGGGCTTAGGCCCTGACAGCCGAAACCCTAGACCAAAGCTGTTTCTCTCACATAGTACAACCCGAAGCCCCTCAAGCCTTGAGCCTAGAACCTTCTATCCTCAAATACTGATTCGACTGCACCCTAAAACCCTAAACCCTTAACCCTAAACCCTAAAACCCTAAACCCTAAACCCCTAAACCCTAAAACCCTAAACCCTAAACCCTATAAACCCTAAGAGCCGGTAGCCTGGCCCTGAGGAGCCTAGCCTCAATCCCTCAGGGCCCCAAAGCTCTACTTGGAGCTTCACGGGTAGTTATAAGTCGGGTTGTAAGTAGGCTAAAGATAATTATAGCCCACATTACCAGGACCTTCCTTGTACCCCCAAATAGGGGTATATGGTCCCAAATAAAGGGCATTTAGGGTCTAATAGAGGGTAGATGGAGGGTCTAGGTAGGGGACTTATAACCCCGCTGATAACTACCCATGAACCTTCAAGTAGGGCCCCAAAGCTCTAGAGTCCTGACTCGACAGCCCTGCGGCCTAGGGCCGACAAGCCACGCTTCAAGCTAAATCCCCCACCCTCGATCGAGCGTAAACTCCTAAACCCTGAAATGCAAAAGTCCCGGAACCCTGGCCTAAACTAAACTCTAAACCCTCAGCTCTAAACCCTGAACTTTAAACGCTAAGCCCTAAAGCCTAAACTCCCCAACTCTTGAAGCCCAAAATCGCACCTCTTGGAGGAACTCTGTGAGGCGACTGTAGGGTTAAGGCTGCTACCTTGCGCCACTTGGAGGCACAGAGGACTTAGTAAGCATATGGGGTTCTTTCGGGCTCCTTTAAGGGATCTCTATAGGGGTCTATAGGGTTTAGGGTATAAGTAGGGTTAGACTTGGGGTGACTCCATTTAGGGTACTTATAACTCTACCTATAAGCTACTTATCTAAGCAGGTGTCGATTTCAAGACTCCCCAAAACCCGAAACCCAAAAGGCCCAAAAGGCCCTCAACCTTATTAGGGCTCTATATAAAACCATAAGGAAAGATCACAGAAATCCCAAATCGATACCTAGTGCATGTCAGCAGTCGATTCAGGGGTTCCAAGGCGATAACCGAGTAGGGTTTAGGAGTATAGGGCTTAGGGCAAGTTTCGGGTTTATCATGACTTGGTTCGAAGGTTCCAGAGTTTTCTGATAGCGTTTTGCCAATCTGCAGAGTCCGGAATCCCTGTAACGAAGGCAGTTGTTGCCGAATATTGGCACCCCATGGTTGAGGGTTTAAGCTTTCAGCCCTAAGCCCTAACTGAAACCTTACAATCTTGAAAAAAAACAAGGGTTTCAAGGACTGGGGGTTTGGAAATTCAACAGTCTGGCTTCTGAGCAAGACTCCGCTTAGGAGTTTAGGTTTTCAGGGTGAAGCATACAGGCTCTCAGGTTTGGGGGTTGTGCGAAATAGAGGCTTAGAGTTTAGGAGTTCGGGGTTTGCAAGGTGTCATAACCATGGCATCAAGATGATGGTGAATCACCACAAGCCTCGTCTTGTTTCATATCTGAGCAGCAGTTTCCACAGGCGAATCAAGTTGGTTTGAAAGCATGGACAAGGTTCAGTGCTCTGTGTGTGTGTGTGTCCAGTTGAAGTCCTAAACCCTGCACCCCAGTTTCTGGACTGTAGGGTTTAAGAGTAAAGAACTGTATTCTGGGTTGTGCTTTAAACCCTTTGAAAATAATTTATGAAAAGGTTCCCTTTATAAGGAAACAAGGGAAATTAAAAATGATCCCAAAGCACAACCCTTATGAGGGCGATGAGGGCTGATGCGTTGCCAAACACCCTGCCGTGAGCCCGAATACGTCTCAGAGGTTTCGTGTGGCTGCCCTAACCCTAAACCCTAAACCCTAAACCCTAAACCCTAAACCCCTAAACCCTAAACCCTTAAACCCGACACCCAAGGCCCAAGGCCCTGACACCCCGAACCTAAACCCGCAACCCCAAAGTCCCAAACCCCAATATACATACATACATACATAGAAATAAACACATTCTTTTGGTGGGGGATCCTCAGGGTAGTCGGGATCTGGAGTTGCAAGATCAGCCTTGCGAATCCGCGTGGATTTTTTGGGCAGGTATATGGCTAGGTTGACGGTGTTTAGGGTTGAGGGATCGCGGCTGTGGGTTGTTGACTGACCCTAAACCCTCGGGACCCTAAACCCCACACCCTAAACCCAACTGCAATTCAGTGGCAGTACCATAGCACTGGGATAGAAAGTTGTCGCTTCCGATCGACCACGTTGCGGTTCAAGACCTGTCGTGGGTTTGGGGTACCCCTACCGGGCCACCAGGAGACTTGCATGCTTCTGCATCACCTTCAAGACCTCGGTATTCCGAAACCGTTGTGCTGTTTTTACCTCTGCAATTGAAACCCTGGGGTCCCGAGTATGGGCCCTTCACCCTGGGATCCTTCTCGACCGACTCTATGCCCTGTTTGTACCGCTTAGGGGCCCTGAAAAGGTGCTAGGGGCCGCCCGAAGCATCTGAATCGCAATACATGTTGAGAGGCGCGGATATGACTGCCAGGTGACTACTAACTAGCAAGCTGAATGGGGCAAAGACTGGGTCTGTCGTGGAGTTTCCGAAAATTAAGGGTACCTTATTTGGGGTCCTTATACTAAGTAAGGATCCTACTATTTAGGGTCCTATATTAGGGTCCCCCATTTTCGGAAACTTCCACATTGTGACAAACGTATCCACACCCAGAGCCCACCAGGAAAGCACCAAGATGGCGGGAGCGGCTCGCCAGTTCTTTGTATACCTAGTGTAACGATCACCCAGAATGTACCATACTGAAGGGGGAATGAGAAGGTCTGGATGGATGGCAACCCTTGTTCCAGACCCAAATGTCTCTACACGATGATACGTGTGTTACAACATATGGTTTATCAAGGCGCCAGAAATGAGAAAAACACATCTTGAGATGAAACCATGCCCTAAGCAGCAGTAGTGACAGGGACGGCGCTAGACGGAGATGGGCAGAGAGATGGGTTTATGCTTTACTTCGTAGGGTTTGGGGTCTAGGGTTACTACAACCGGGCGTATGTTTCAGGGTCCACTTCGGAGCCTGAGACATCGGACTTCCTGAATCTTAAATCCAGACAGAGAACGCGCAGGCACCTCGGGTTTCAGGGTCTTCTGCTCAATAAATGCGAGGACAATGGCGTCGAGCCCATCGGGATCCGCATCATGCAGAAACCTAGCACATGCAAAAGTTGGGTTTGAGGTTTAGGGCTTGGGGATTATGGTTTAAGGTTTAGGATCGACCACAGGATGATGTCAGAAAAGTGCGACATTTCTCGCAGAGTTGGACACCGGAGTTCAGAACAAAAGACGTGATTCAAACGCACTTAAACTGCTCAACTCTGAACCCTAAGCCCCTAATTCAACCCTAAACCGATCCGTTAATCACTTAACCCTAGTCTGTGATTCGACGTATTGGCCTATCTTACTTGGAGGGTCGGGGGACTTGGTAACTGGTTATTTTAGGGACTTATAAGTACCATAACCCCAATTAGGGTCCCTTTTAGGGTACTTATAAGTCTACTTACTTACTACCTACTTACAAAGTCCCCCGACCGTCTAAGTAGGGACCCTTGCAGTCTGATTGTCCGTAGGTGCTAGACGCGCGTAGTGCAGCCTGCTGTCGACATTCAGGGACACTTGGAGGTTCATTGGTAGTTATAAGTGCGGTTTGAAATAGGGTAACTATAGTTATAACCCATATGAGGGGACTTATAACCTTACTTACAACTCCATGAACCTCCAAGCAGCTACCAAAGCAGCACCATTGCAGCTCAAAGGTGTGGCTTTTGCAACCCATGCAGGGGCGCATACAAGATCCTTATGAATCCTTATGTGCAATTGCCTTACTGGGCTCCTCACATCGTCTATAATCTTAAGACATGATACAGATACCCCAAGCCCTAAACGGTATTCAATCTAAATCAAAGGAGCTGAAGCATGGCCGACAGCAGTGTCGAGCCGTCTTCCCGTACAGCATCGACGACGTGGCCAGGCAAGTGGAGGATCAAATATCTCCACCTGGGGCCGAAGGGTGAGGCGGGTTGCTACTTGGAGGTTCATGGGTACTTACAAGTGGTGTTATTGCGTAAGGTAACTATACTTTTAACCTATATTACCCTACTTATAACCCCACTTATAACTACCTATGAACTTCCAAGTAGGCTTCAGGCCCCAAACCCTAAACCCCAAACCCTCAGGGTTTGCACGGCTTAGGGCTATTATCAAGTATCTTCTCCTGTCTGAACTGCTTCGGGTCTTACTATTTTGGGGCATCGGGCCCGGGGTTCGGTTCAGATGGCTTAATGTAGTGGCCTTGGTAGTTAGCATAGGATTTTGGGTGCCATTATACTATAGTTATAATAAGGAACCCCCAAAATAGTATAGGCAACTATTTAGGCCCCTAGTAGGGAAACTTGGGCGACTTTTGCACTGGTTCCTGTCAGACTGGAATGCTGCGATGAGGGCCATGCTATGCTTGGCTTGATTTCTGTGGGACGGGACCTGCCTGGCGTGACCTTGGGCCCCGGATCTCAGGACATGACGCTCAAAGCTCCCTGCTATGTTTCCGCTACTGCCCAAGTGAGCCTCCAACATGTCATTGAACTCCTTCTAAACCCCATCAGTGCTGCAGGACGGGTCGTCTTGCGGAATGCGCTCACCCCGGTCCACCGGGTTTAAGGAGGGCTGCTTCAGGGTCGTATAGGGCCGAATCTCACGATTCCACCAGGCTTGTGTCACGACGCGCAGAACTCGCGACAAATTCAAGTTTAAGATGCCGCAGGGTCCAGCACCAATGCAGAGTCGCTCCGAAACTCAACAATAGGGAACCTGAGCGGTATATCCCCCGAGACCAAACCTGAAACCGTAGCCAAACAGGCCGAACAGCCACATCCCGAGCGACAGCTGCTGTCCTATGCTCTTGGTGCGGCAAGTGGTCCTAAACCCTAAACCCCTAAACCCTAAACCCTTAAACCCTAAACCCTGAACCCTAAACCCTACTTGGTGCGGCATGTTGCAAGAGCATGAACTCCTGGTACACTGCCATGCCCAAGGACGTGCGGATGTGCCTCAGCCAGCAGCCAACGCTCTGGTAATCTGAAACCCAAAGCCGTGCGGTTTAGGGTTTACCTTAACCCCACGTGACCTACCTTTTTAGGGACTTATATAAAAAGAATCATATTAGGGGGCCCTAAAAAGGTAGGTTCCGTAGGGCCCAGGTAGGGTTTAGGGCGTTTGAACTTTTCTACAGGGCGTAACTCCTAAACCTGTAATGCTGTAGGGCCTGAACCGCCGAACACCAGACCCTTTGTGGGCTTTTAGGGTTTTAGGATTAAGGGGGTTCGGCCTTCAAGGCTTTAAGGTTTCCGAAAATAGGGGACCCTATATAGCACCCCAAGTAATAGGATCCCTATTGTAAAGACCCCAAATAAGGTACCCCTAATTTTCAGAAACTCCCATGAGGTTTGGGGGTTCAGGCTTTATAGGTCTTCGGACTAAGAGTTCGTCAGGGTGAAGATTTGAGGGATCGAGGTAGCACGAGGAAGGAAGCTCTAGTGTACATTACAGTCTTACAGAGAAGATGGAAATCCACCACCCAAACCCTAAACCCTGAACCCTATAAACCCTCAACTCAAACCCCAAAGCTGTTAGATGATCGTGATCTCAGCCTTTCCCATGGCTCACTCTCGATGAATGATGGAGATTCTGCTGGCGATGCCGTCATCTCCCAGGGGCAACAGCCCACTACATCCAACTGTAGTCCGGGTTTAGGGTTTAGGGGTTTAGGGGTTTAGGGGTTTAGGGGTTTAGGGTTTAGGGAACAAGGCTGCTTGCAGAGCAACCAGAGGATCGAATATCTCTTCATTCCAACATCCTCTTGCGGCATCGTGGCGACGGATGTGGCAAGCTCTCCCTGCTTATCCGAAAGCCGGGCCCGGAAGTGCGAACCCAGGGAGAGTCTAGGACGGGTGCGCTGCGCTCGGATCATGGCCCTACGCACGCAACTGTATGCGGAGCCTTTGCCCAGGTGAGGTGACGCAGCCACGACAAACGCCGTAGCCTAATTTTTGTCTGCAGTGATGCGTGCACCAGCAGAGAGAGCGCGCCTGCAGGCTGGCAAATCCGCAGGCAGGACCGACTTGTCTAGCAAGACCACGCCGTCTAGCTACTGAAGCCGTTGTGACCTCAATAACTAGAAGAGGGTTTGGGGCTCCTCTTTTGTGGAAATACAATATCAGAACCCTCGAGAGCTGTACGGGGTTGGAGCCTCAGGGTTTACGGCTTCGGCTTCAGGGCCTTAGGATTTACATTTTGGGCATTTAGCCCACCGAGGTTTTTACACGTGGCTGGTTGTCAAAATTATGGTCTATTTTTGGGTACCCCAAATATTCGTTAAGACCCAAAAGACACTCCAATATTGACAACCACCCACGTGCATGTCTGCCTGCACTGACATGACATGTGGAATTTATCACAACAAGCCGCTCCAACTGAACGACGGCATCGAAGTAATGGGGTTTGAGGCACGAGACGCTATGCTCAGAACTGGGTATTTTTAATATTAAGATATATACTCCCTAAACCGGTAACCCCAGGCCCCAAACCCAAGACCCTAAACCTTACAGTATTACATCCAAAGCTCAACCCAAGCTCCAAAGCTACAGCCCTCCTAATATCCGCAACCCCGTACCCATTGCCTTTGGGTTTATAAGGCTTAATATCTGCAACTTTCCAGGGTGCGCGAGAAGAACGCTGACACAAGGTTCGAACATCTTGAAGACGTTCTGGATGCCCCCGGCCTGAACTCCAACTTTGGTCTTAAGTTCGAGAGATGGGCCAAGCGGGGGTTCACCCTAAACCCTAAACCCCCAACAAGGGTAGGGCTTACGGGTTTTGGGGTTCAGAGCGTGCCGACCCTGGGCGAGTCTTATGTTCGCCCTAGGGGGACCTGCTGTAGATGCCTTAGGGTCCATGTACCCAAAGAGTATCTACTTTGGGCCTAATGTACCTATACATATAGGGAGCACTTTAAGGCGAAACAAAGTATATACTTTGGGTACATGGACCCTTAGGGCCACTCCTGGCAAAGATGTCGCTTGAGAGAGGTCGATACCCAACTACCACGGTTCAATACCCCAGGGCCTTAATTAAGGATACCTTGGGTTTAGCGGGTAATTTTTGTAACTACAACTCTATGAACCACTTAGGTATGAAGCATCAGCGTTCGCGGAAGCTGGAGGCACCCGGGCAGTAGAAATAGCCACTCGGTCACTTAGGGCTCCAGAAAATTAGCGGAGGAGCTGAAACAGCTGCTCAGATTCGTCATGTGAAGACTGGACAGGGTTACAACCGCATTTGGTTACATTTTCGTTCCCAATGCCTCAAACAACAACACGAGATAGTGAAGAGGATCCATGTGGGTGGTTGTCAAAATTAGGGTCACTTTTTGGGTACCCTAAATATTAGGTGCCGTATTTTTTACAAGGACCCAAAAAGGGACCCTAATTTTGACAACCACCCATGTAGGACGTTCCGAAACCCGAAGCTTCTGTTGCCCCGCCTTCGGCCATGCCTCATCCGGCAGAGTCCTCAGATTTCGCGGGAGTTTGAATGAAGCCTCGAGGGTTTAGGGTTTAGGGTCTTAGGGTTTTAGGGTTTAGGGTTTAGGGTTTAGGGTTTAGGGCCCCGTTTCGTAAGAGATATCCCAAGCTATGACGTGTTCGACTGCTGCAATGCAAGGTACGGGTTGGCAGCGATCCATCCCAAACAGGCAACAACTCTCGCCAAAGGTCCCAACGCCCGGAACCTATGTTACCTTTCTTCTGTTTATCACTATTGTTGTTGCGGAGGCATCAGCTGGATTAAACCCAAAGACCTGCACCCAGATCAGACCGGATGGTGACTGAACCAATCCAACTCCCCCCCTGCCGCTTTCCGAAACATGAACGGCGAACCCAAAGACCTGAACCCTCAACCCTGACCCAAAGCTTGCCAGGCGCATCCACCAGCCCCTTGACTTCAAGAAGCCTCAGAAGGGTAGTAGAAGTGAGGTTTATCTAGACGACAAGCCCCTAATAGAGGGGCCCTAGTAATTAGAATAGGGCTTTATGGCCCAGTATACTATAATTATAATAATGGGGAACCCCGAAAATAGTATAGGTAATCATTTAGGCCCCTAGTATATAGGCTTGATAGGTTCGAGAAGGGAGTAACAGCGTTGTTGTTGAGGAGCTTGGTTCAAGCTACCGTGACACGAGAAGCACTGCATCTACTCTCTATCATCGCTGGGGTACCCAAAACTGATCCAGAGACCCGCAATACCACTGAATTAAGCAATAGACCATAAATGATAGGGGCCCTAGTCTTGTGGTTCGAGGTACCTTGTTTAAGGATATGACGGGCATGATGCTCTTCGGAGTTCCTTGATGAGAACAGAAAACGCGTCGCCGTTTTTGCTCGGAGTTTAGAGATCATGGCGGAAGACTTGACAGCAGCATCCGTCGTGACAACTATAGTTCGGGCTAGGGCTTGGGGGAGTACATCGGGAGGACAAAGTTTTGACCTACTGGACCTTTCTTGTCTTATATAAGGCGTCTTGCCGAGTAGCGGAGTACCGAGAAATGCCATTTATGTGGCTAGGCCAGCGGAGTATTTCATACCCCGTTCTGAAACTATACGACTCTAATGTTGCGGAGGAGCAGCCGGTTGGTCCTATTCGCTAGGATTCTCTATGGGGAATGGGGGCCTGTGTTCGACGAAACAAGGACTAAGGAGTAGGTCCAGCTTTCGTCCTATTGCAGCTTCTGACTGCTCATGCCCATGTATTGACAGGAAATGCCGGCTTGTCGAACGGCATCATCAGCACGTAGTCAACTTAGCCTAGGCTGCTTAATCGAATCCGCTTCCGAGCATGTAGATGGCCTCCGCACAGTGTGCACTACCTCATTCAGGCTGGTCCTCTTGGCACAGAAGCAGGACTGAAGCCCATCACCCTAAGCGAAGAGAAACACCCAAGAATAGCCTAAACGCCAACTCCGAAGCCCTGAAAGCCCTAGACCCTAAACTGCAAAGGCACAACAAGCCCTGAATCCTGAACCCTAAAGGCCCCATAGCACAAAAGAGACAAGAGGCCAAGCATGTCGACCTCCTTCAGGCTGTAGTGGAGGAGGGAGGGCACTCCGACTCCCTGCGGTTAGGGCTTTTTGGGGCTTGGGGCTTGAGGCTTACGGGTTCCGGGTGGGACTTTGGGGTTTGATACTGTTTTGGGGGGTTCAGAAGTTTAGGGTTGGGCTTTGGGGCTTTAGATTCTTTGGGGTGGTTCAAAGTTTACAGGTCTAGGGTGGGCTTGATGCTTTCCTTTTGGGGGCTCAGGCGACTATAATCATAATGGTCAGGGGTCAGGGCTTTGCAGGTTTGGGAGCAAGGAGGGCACTCCGACTCCGACTCTCTGACAGTGCGAAGAAACCGTACCTGCTTGCCGGTGTTGGCCCTAAACCCTAAAGCTTGGGGTTGAAAGCTTAACGTCTCTAGTTTTAGGGTTTTTCGGCTGAGGGTTCGAGGGCTTCAGGATCTGGAGCTTCTGGCTTTTGGGCTTCGGGTCTATGCTTGTCGGATGTTGGAACTTTGCGATCGGCTCAGTCTGTTTAGAGCGGCGAATACTTGGTAACAGCATTCCGTCTTAGCCCCTTTACTAAACGCTTCTGAATATAATATAGCGTTGGGGAGTCTGTCCCCAGGCCTCCTTGGGGAACCCTAAACCCTGAACCCTGAGCGGACCCTAACTGAGTCTCTTCGTGCTTTCAGGGCAAGTCGAACAGCCGCAAAGACGTCAAAAGCATTCCTGCAATCAGCCCTGAACCTCAAAAGCCCTCAACCCCTAAACCCCTCAACCCCTAAACCCTGAACCCTGAACCCTAAACCCTAACAAACCTTCGACCCCACAATCCTCGACGTCCACAGAGCCCACGGGGAAGAAGAGTGAAGACCAGGGTATGTCTTCATCGTCCTGCTCAACTGCACGCTGGAGGGGTTTAGGGATTTGCAGGGATGTGGGTTCAGGGTTTGGGTGTTGCGGGGTTTCGGCCGGGCTTACGGAGATTCCTTCGACATGTTGAAGTTTTGAGAATGGTGATCTAAGGCTTCAGGTCTAATAGGGCTTAATTAGTGCAGTCCTTGGCTGACAGGTGGGGTCCGAGGCTCACAGTTTCAAGGTGGACGCTGGCCAAAGGCCCAGTGCCTCATCTAGGACCCTTTAGAATCTGAGCCACATAACTTTAAGCCTTTTCGCAAGAAGCTAACGAAACTTAGCCCAAAGATGTCGCTATTGAACCTCAGTCGAAAAACCGCCAAGCCCTTATCGCTGCTTAGTCTTATCCAGAAGCCAGAAATCCGAGACTGAAGCGGATGAACCCCAATTCGTTCTGCAGAGCAAGAAGCCGCTGTGGAACCCTATGTATAATCAGTATAAAAAAACCTTGACAACGCCTTTCAGACAAATTTAAACCCAGCTACACCCTTCCAGGTGGGAGCAGATCGTCTCCTCGAGCTCCACGAGCCCGTCTTGTTTGCAGAACCTGTGCTCAAAAAAGTGCACGACAGGGAGTTCATGAGAACCGTTGCTCGGAAAGGCGGGTTGTTCTGAGGCATTGAGAGTTTAGGGCTTTGAGCTTCATGGTGATAGGGTGTAGTGGTTCATCACATTCTAGGGTCTATGGTTTAGTTTTATGCCTTGGGGCACTTTGAGGCTTAAGGGCTGAAGGCTGAACTGCTTCTTAGGGTTTTACTGCGATATCTATGGCTCCTTGGCACTTGTCCGAAAACAAGCATACGGTTGCCAGAAGGCCTGCGAGGCTTAATGAACAACAATAGCAGCAACAGCAAGGACGACGACAAATGCAGAGAGAGAGAGAGAGAGAAAAATAAACACATGTATCAATTGAGCTGTTATGGAGTATGCCTGTGTTTACATCAGAGTGACAGTACAGCACGGCACACTACCTGCCATGCTGTGCACACCACAACACCCTTACACCATTAACCCAGAGCCCCTAAACCCTGAAAACCCAATTACCTAAAGCCCTGAGCGCAAAACCCTTACCCTGTTCTTCGGTTGATGACCAAAGGTATGAGGCATGAGCGGTCCTACTATAAGGGTTGGTATAATCGGTAACCGTATAACCGGTTTCGGTCCATATCAAACTGGACAGGACCCAAATAAGCACGACATGATGTCCGGAAAATCGCGCATCTCTGTCTCGGCCATTTCTCCCTGAACCCTAAACCCCTTCAGCCAAGAGTCTGTTCTAGGGCGACAAGCTGGGGTGGTGGCGAACGCGGGTCCAACGACGCCAAAAACCTGGAAGTTTCAGAGGATGTTGCAAGTCTGGATAGTCCAGACCAGGAATTCACCTGATGTTACTAGCTTCAGGGATCTCGGAAGATCTATCTAGACCGGGGGAGATGAGTGTCTGATAGAGTTACAACTTGGCATTTGCCAGTTTCAGCAGCACTGAAGTCACATAGTCACTTGCGAACAGTGTGTTGTGTAATTAGCAGTTTTACGTCTTCACACCAAAACCCTGCTGTGTCATTCCGCTTTACGATTGTTGCGTAGCAAGACTAGTCCGTCTGCAGTGTGGGTCGTCGAGTATCTCCAAAACGCCTTTCTTCACTCTCACTGTTTTCCATGCTCAGACTCAACAGAAAAGTCCTTCAGTGCGGCTGAAGACAGGGTAGGGTTCAGGGTATAGGGTGTATAGTGTATGGTACAGTCTATAGCAATGGGATTTGACACTACAGGTTCCAGGAGGGATACGGGTGTCACATAAGGATTTCAGGCCAGGTCCCTCCACCCCAAACCTGAGACCTACTCAGTACCAACAGCAAGAATCACACAAACTCTGAATCCTAAACTGCAAGGCGGGACTCTCTTTACCACCCTAAACCCTAAACCGTGAAACACAGACAACCAGGTCCGGCCAGCGACCGTTTCAGATCGGCCACACACCCGAGGTGCTTGAGCTCCGTCCGGAAAGTCCGCCTAGTGTTTGTTTTTCCTTTGAGGGTTGCAGGTCCAGGGCTGAGTGTGAAGGTGCTGCTTCTTGAACCGCTTTTCCGACGTCAGGACTTCGAATTCAGTGTAGAGTTGCAGGGTTTTATGGCTTTTGGGGGGGATGTGCTTCAAGCTTCAAGGCCCTAACCCTAAACCCTAAACCCTAAACCCCTAAACCCTAAACCCTAAACCCTAAACCCCTAAACCCTAAACCCCTAAACCCTGAAGCTTTCGTACGCTTTTGTTTCAGGGTCTGCGTTTTTGAGGGGCCAAGGGGCCAGGGTCGGAGCTCTAGGGATTAGATGTAGGCTTCACCTTAACCCTGAAGAACCTACCTTTTTAGGGGTTCCTTATTATGACTTCCTTATATAAGTCCTTAAAAAGGTAGGATCTTCAGGGTTAAGGCAGCTGAAGCGGTCCAAAAAAAAAATGGGCCCGATAAGTATGTTAAGGAACCCTAAGGAGCGGTTTGCATAATACAGGGGCCCTAATAATTAGAGTTGGTCTTTGGGGGCCAATTATACTATACTTATAATCAGGAACCCCAAAACACCTCTACTTATGAAAGCCCCTGTATTAATTATTCAGGCTTCTATCTGAGAGCTGTCGGGCTAAGGGCTTGCTTCTCTTGTGACTGCGACATGATAAACCTTCATACCTAAACCCTAGAACAGACCCTAAACCCTAAACCCCTAAACCCTAAACGCTAAACCCTAGAACAGACCCTAAACCCCTAAACCCCTAAAACCCTAAACCCTAAACCCTAGAACGGACCCTAGCCACCCCTAAACCACAAAGAGTTTCGAGTTGGATCTGAGGGAATAAGGACTTCTTCTCCAAGGCTATGGGTGAAAGCCAAGGCCTCAAAGGGGTGAGTTTTAAAAGGGTCTATAAGGGCTACTATAAGGGATCCATAAGGGTACTATAATATAGTATCATATAGGGGGCTAATGTCGGGTTAGGTTGGAGGTTTCGGCAAAGTTTGCTGTTTGCATGCTTTTGGCTGCAAGCGCTGGGGCATGGTGCCGAAAGCAAGACTATGCAAGACTCTTCGGTCGGGGGACCCCGCCAAACTCGGAACTTTCCAGTGTGATGCATGCTACACGAATCTGGTCGCGACAGCTGAAATTCTGAAATCGAACTCGCAATGCTACTCTGAAAGCGGATCGGTTTCACGGTTCAAGGGCTCTTCACAGCTTCATCCAGTAATATAGGGGCCGAAAATCTTAGATCAACGTTGTGACAGGTTCACGAGTATAATGTAATATACCCAACCTGTAGCCCAAAAGACCTACTTTTTAAGGAGCTATATACAGAAACCATAATAGGGAACCCTAAAACGGTAGGTCTTTTCGGCTACAGGAAAACCTTAAAAGGATCCTGTATTAATTGAGGCTGCGCACTGCACGAGGGTTAGGAGGTCAAGGTTTTGGGCTTAGGGTTTACGTAGGCGGAGTGCGCCTCGGCCAAATCATAAGTAGGGTAGCTATACTTATAACTCACATTATGAGACTTTTAACCCACTTATATCTACCCTAACCCCTGAAACCTAGACCCTAAACCCTATAGAGCCCTTTAACGGAAACTTATAGCCCCACTTATAACTACCCATGAACCTCCAAGTGCCTCTGCCAAATCTCGCCGCTTTCTTTACGCAAGCAAAGCTCGAGTTGATCGGCAGCCGTCGGCGGCATGGCATCAGCAAGAATAGCTTCGTAGCACCGAAGTGTCCTCAACAGCTCGAGTTCCGTGGGTATTGCAACCCGCTCTTTAGCACCTGACTAGTGTTTACTATCAAAAAGCAGCCCGAAAGCCGGAGAAGGAGACGGAGAGTGAGAGAGGGGCCCGCAGCAACTGATACCCGGATCTGTTGAAACACCATCGTTAACTTCACCGTCCCGATTCGGAAGGAATTCTCATTTCGCTGCGAGCCACGTGCTGTTGACAGGCGACGGTGTCACGCACATGTGGTTATTACGGTTCAGGGCTTCGGAAGTGAACTGTGCTGCAGGGCGAAGCATGACACGGTAAGAAAGAAACGACCGACGACGAGCAAGCGATTCTTTCGGAGTGCCATAGGGTGCAGATCTGACTGATCTGACAGATGCAATCAGCCAAGGCCAAGACCACAAATCGCTAAACCCTAAGCCCGAGACCTAAATCCTCAGATTGTTGTGCGCCAGAAAATTGCTGTCAGTTCGTCAAAGGTCAGCCCGATACGAGCTGCGCATTTCAAAATGGCTGCTTGGGATGCAGCAAGCTGTGCGTGTCTGTGTGTGTCGGTTGCGGGACCAGTCTTTCATGAAAGCTCCACTCTATCATGCAGCGTGCTGCTACATTAGTTGCGGAGAGGATACCGGTGCAAAGCTCGAGATACTATCGGCTTCACCAGCACAAGGTTTTCAGATTACAGTATGCTCCTTACCGACAGAAGCATTATCTGGGCAGATATCGGGGAAGCATCCCAAACCCCGAACCGAAACTCTAAACCGTAATTCCTAAGCCTCAGGGTTTAGAGTTTAGGAACACCAAACCCCCAAACCCGAAAACCCAACACCGTGAACCCCTAAACCTCAAACCCTAAACCCTAAACCGACTCAGGGTGTCGCTACAAGCCAGATCAAAAGCACTTGGGGAAAAGTTTCTACCTTAACCCACGAGAACTTACTCCTTCTTGCAAGGTCCTTCGAGATCACAAGTGGGCACTCCTAAAGGTGGGTCGTTCTAAAAAATCGAATGCCTTCTAGGCCCTTTTATCAGGCTACCGTACCAGTACTGCGACCTAGAAACTGACACTAATTCCGGGAACTACCCTTATAGTACCCTTATATAAACCCTTGTAGATCACCCTAACGAGCCCCTAAAAACCCAAGTGGGTTCTGGTAGATTCAGAAGGGCAGCCTCCTGGTTCTTCCAAGCTCTGTCCCTGATAAGCCCTACTTGCTTAGGGTTTCGGGCTTTGGGTTTGGGGGTTTAGAGCTGAGGGTTTGGCCCTAAACCCTAAACCCTGGGGGTTTGGGGTTTTGAGGTTTACGCCCTCCTCCCGCCCGCCCGCGCCCCTCCCGTGAGTAGTTGCACCCTACTTGGAGGGTCGGGGGACTTAGTAAGTAGGTAGCAAGAAGACTTATAAGTACCCTAAACGGGACCCTAACTGGGGTTATGGCACATATAAGTCCCTAAAATAATCAGTTACTAAGTCCCCCGACCCTCCAAGTAGGCTCCCGGTCTAAGGAAGTCTCGGACCTTCGTTTCGGCCGCAGCTCAAGCCGGCACTAAGGTAGGCTTTCTGGAGAGCTCTCTCCATGGTCCTGGTCCATCGGTGGGATAGTCTTAAAAGTTCATAGTTTCTATTCCTTCCTCGGGCTTAAGTCCCCCAAAAAATGTAAAATGTTACCCAACTATGACAAAGGGTCTAAACCCTAAACCCTAAAATGATACCCAACTATGACAAAGGGTCTAAACCCTAAACCCAACGGTGAAAAAGGGTTTAAACCCTAAACCCTAAAATGCCCTAAAGTCTTACCCAACGGTGATTCAAAGGGTCTAAACCCTAAACCCTAAACCCTAAACCCTAAAAGGCCCTAAAGTCTTACCCAACGGTGATTCAAAGGGTCGGTGGTAAGCCCTCCCGGCCAGAGAAGGAGTCAGCAGCGATTGTCTGCGCCTCCTCTCAGCGCAACGGAGCTGTCGGGAGCAGAAGGGCTTAAGGGCTTGGAGTTTACGTTAACCCTGAAGAACCTGCCCTTTTAGAGCTTCTTATTATGATTTCCGGCTTTACTTGGAGGTTCATGGGTAGATATAAGTGGAGTTATAAGTAGGGTAACTATAATTATAACTCATATTAGGGGACTTATAACCATATTTATAACTACCCATGAACCTCCAAGTAGGGTTTAGGATTTGAACTTGAAGCTTGCTAAGGGTTGAGGGTCGTTGGGAGTATAGTGCAGGGTTCCAGGGTCGTCAATTTTGGTGTTTTTCAGGGTCCTCGGGATGCTTGAGCTTAGCTGCTCAAGTTTTCGAAGGCTCTAATTACAGTTTAGTGTTCGGGGTTCGGGGCTTAGGGTTTGGCTTTAGGGTTTAGGGCTTAGGGTTTGGCCCTAGTTTCCGAAATGCTAGCAGATAAAACCCAAATGCCAGTATCTCCGATGCCAGAGCGAGCAGCGACGACAAAAGGGAAGTCCTTCCAGCGTCCGTGGGAGCACGCGCCGAGCACTGCACCAATAGCAGCCGCGTCCACGTTGCACTGCAAGTCTGCCATCGCGCGGAAGAAATGAAGCGCCATTTCCCATGCCTACTTGGAGGTTCAGGTGTAGTGATAAGTGGAGTTGCAAGTATGGTAACCATACTTATAATTCAGACTCGGGGACTTAAAACCCTAATTCTAACTACTCATGAACCTCCACGTGCAGAGCGGGCTGAATGTGTTCTAAGGGAAGGCAGATGAAAGCTGAAGGAAGCTTTGAAGGGAAGACATTGAAGCAGAACTCGACGGAGTCGGAGCCAGGACACTTTGGCCGACCACCACCATCCCTCACTACCCAAGACAGTCCCCCACCTTGCGATCTTGGAAAAAAATCTGATGCGGAAGATGCCTGTTGCAAGTTGTGGGTTTGCCCATCAATGTGCCTGCCCCGCCGCACAAACGGCAATGGTCGTGTTGAAAGACACTTCATCTGGAGCTTGGCCGAGGGCCTGCAACACAAGCAACGTCCAGGGATGCAACCCTAACCCTCGGCTCTCCATCATCAAGCCTGAATGTTGAACCTGAGTGTAGGAACCTGATTAAGAAACCTTGGGCCTTTATTTGGGTTCCTTATATGAATCCTACTATTTTGGGGTTATAGGCCCAGGGTTTCTTAATCAGGTTCCTACATTAGACCGTAAACCTGCCCCCACCCCTGCCTGCCAGGCATACTGCAGCTGGTGGGTCAGGGCTACCGCGCGCTGCCACGTGCGACTAGCTCCACAGGCTGCCATCGCCTGGGCTTTTAAGTAACCAGGGAAAAAAGAGGTATAAACTTTTACTTCATAATGGCTCCTTTAAGAAAAAAGTATTAAAGTATGGTACTCCAAAGCCCAGTTGCTGCATTCACAACAACCTGAGAATGCCAGATTTTGCAGTTGAAGGGTTCCTATATGGGCCTAGATAATTAGAACAGGGTTTTGTGGTATATTATGCTACAACTATAGTAAGGAACCCCTGAACAGTACAGGTAATTATTCAGGCAGTGCGACGATCCCTTTTACTCCCTATTCTTTCGTCATTTTTGCCTGGAAACTCAACAACCAAAGAGTGGCGTAAGGGCACTAAGGGGTGACCCATAACAGTCAACGTCTCGCCGGGCAGCTGTGTTCAGCTGGGTAGCCTCCTTTGAATACCTAGGCGGTTGCTGACTTCGAGTTTGGCTTCGAGGGTTTGGGGTTTAGGGTATCAGGGGTTGCTCTGTCTTGTATGGTGAACAGTGAACAACTGAGGCGGCCGCTCATCGTAGAGCTGCAGAGCCGCCTCTGCACCCTGACCCTGTGCGCATGCCGTGATGCAAGAACTCCAGGAGACCTGGATTTTCGGCAGTGCTTAGACTGAGCAACATGATGGTTAGGGTATCTCTTTGGGTCCAAGACCCCTTGATTAAGGGATATACCTTAAATCATATTCGGGTTCTTATCATTTAAGGTATATTCCGCAATTAAGGGGTTTGGGAGTGTTTGGGCACACCCATGTCGTAGATCCTCAACCCTTTACCCCTCTTCTGCAAGCTCCCATTCTAGCAATCTCTGGCATCTACATGGCAGCTACAGAGGAACAAGGAGCCATGAAGATTGACGTCTAAATAGTTTAGGATCCTGAGCAAGACACCCGAAGTGATGCACCTCTTCAAATTTACAACAGCCCGTAACTGCTGCTTCGCTGCTGCATCCCTGTGCAGGCTCTTGAGCTTCATAAGCCTTAGTTGCTGAGTTCATAATCGTGAGCTAATTCCAGTTCCAGAAGGGATAAGTTTTTCCCAAAACCCAAAACCCTAAACCCCTAAACCCCCAAACCCTAAACCCCTAAACCCTAACCTGCTGCTAAGAAGCTCAAAAAGTGCCAGTGCATGCTGCCACTTCAGGCGCCCGACGCAGGCAGAGATCACGGTATTGAAAGACACCTTAGGGTCGGAGTCGGGCACTCCACCACTCGTTTAGGCTCAAGGTTTCAGGGTTTAGGGTTTAAGGTCTAGTTTAAAGTTTAGGGCTTGAGGGAACTGGCTCAGGGTTAAGGGTTCAAAGGTTCAGTTTCTCAACCCTAATCCCCAAACCCTTGACCCTTATATAATCCTTAGTAAGTAGGGATTACCTACAACCCACCTAAACCCCTAAACCCCCAGACCCTAAACCCTAAACCCTAACACCCTAAAACCCCTCAACTCCCTGAAGCCGATTACACTGGTAGCTTCAGCTTGGGCCCTAGACCCTAAACCCTAGACCCTATACCCCTAAACCCCTAAACCTAAACCCTAAAACCCCTTAACTTGGTAGCTTCAGCTTGGGCCTAAACCCCTAGACCCTAAACCCCTATAACCCCTAAACCCCTAAACCCCTAAACCTAAACCCTAAAACCCCTCAACTTGGTAGCTTCAGCTTGGGCCCCTAAACCATTGGCCGCCCGCGCCCGGCGGCGGCCGGTACCACTGAACGCTACCGCTTCGAGATCTGCTTGCTTGGCCAAGCAGATCGAGTCTACCAGACCTAATTTGGCACTGCTAGCCATGGGGCACAATAGTAAAATTGGGTACCCTTATCTCCCAGCGCGAGAACCCTGGCGGGGACGGGACCTGGTAGAAAGAGCTTGACGAGCGACCCTGGCGGGTATGGCGGGCGACTCTGGCGGGGACGGCTGACGACCCTGGCGGGGACTTGGTGGACGGACGACTTTGGCGGGGACGGCGCGCGACCCTGGCGGGGACGGCGGGCAACCCTGGTGGGGACGGCGGACGACTCTGCTGTGACAGCAAAAGGGCCAAAAACAGCTTGGCAGACGACTCTGGAGGGACGGCGGACGACCCTGGCGGGGACGGCGGGCGACCCTGGTGGGGACGGCGGACGACTCTAGCGGGGACTTGGCGACTCTGACAGGGACTGAAAAAGCCAAAAACAGCTTGGCAACGACTCTGGAGGGGATGGCGCCTTATCTCCCAGCGCGAGAACCCTGGCGGGGACGGGACCTGGTAGAAAGAGCTTGACGACGAGCGACCCTGGCGGGGATGACGAGCCCTCTGGCCGGCGCGCGACCCTGGCGGGGACGGCGGGCAACCCTGGCGGGGACGGGGGACGACTCTGCTGTGACAGCAAAAGGGCCAAGGCAGACGACTCTGGAGGGACGGCGGACGACCCTGGCGGGGGACGGCGGGCGACCCTGGCGGGGACGGCGGACGACTCTGGCGGGGACTTGGCGACTCTGACAGGGACTGAAAAAGCCAAAAACAGCTTGGCAGACATGGCGCCTTATCTCCCAGCGCGAGAACCCTGGCGGGGACGCGACCTGGTAGAAAGAGCTTGACGACGAGCGACCCTGGAGGGGATGGCGAGCCCTCTGGCGGGGACCCTGGCGGGGACTTGGTACTTTGGCGGGGACGGCGCGCGACCCTGGCGGGGACGGCGGACGACTCTGCTGTCAGCAACTAAAAAAGCTAAAAACAGCTTTGGCAGACGACTCTGGAGGGAGACGGCGGACGACCCGGGCGAGCCTGGCGGGGACGGCGGACGACTCTGGCGGGGACTTGGCGACTCTGACAGGGACGACTCTGGAGGGGATGGCGGACGGGACGGCGGGTGACCCTGCGGGGACGGCGGACAACTCTGGTGGGGACTTGGCGATGACTTTGACAGGCACGAAAAGGCCAAAAACAGTTGACGACCCTGGCGGGGACGGCGGCCAACCCTAACGGGGACGTCGGACACTCTGGCGGGCACTTGGCTTTGACAGCAACTAAAAAGGCCAAAAACAGCTTGGCAGACGATTCTGGAGGACGGCGGACGACCCTGGCGGGGACGGCGGGCGATCGTGGCGGGGACGGATCCAGTTCCTCCAAAAAGAGCTTTGCGGACAACCTGCGGGGCCCGTTCGTCGTGCTTCCCTCTGAGGAACAGGCCAGGCAAACAGCGACCAAAGTCTGGCCGCCCGGCGCCACACAGGAGCTCAGCGGGCCAATCTGGCCGGAGACGGTTTAAACGCTCAAAAAATACGGACCCTGGCGGGGACGGCGACCCTGACCAAGCGACCCTGGCGGGGCAGCGGTGTGACCCTGGCGGGGACGGCGGACGACCCCTTGAGTGGACGATCCAGTTACTCCAAAAAGAGCTTTGCGGACAACTCTGCAGGGCCGTTCGTCGTCCTTCTCTTTTGAAGCATAGACGCGAAACAAGCTTTTTCTGGTGTGGACGGTTCGTCGTCCTTCTCTGTGAGGAACAGGCAAGGTAAACAGCCACCAAGGTCTGGCGCCACACAGGAGCTCAGCAAGCCAATCTGGCCGGGGACGGTTTGTCAGTTTGTCGTCTTCTCCACTCCAGAGCCTTAAACGACCCAGGCGGCACGCTTCGTCGTCCTTCTCCCTGAAGAATCGACGACTCTGGCAGGAACCGGGCGAAAAAACCCTGGCGGCCGACTGGATGGATGATCAGCACTCTTGGCCGGACTGGCACGGACAGCGGACGGCTGCAAACCACTTCTGGAGGCCTGGCACTGGGCCCTGACGGACGACTCTGACGACGGCTGACGGACGACTCTGGCGGCCGGCGAGGACGAGCGAGGGCGTCGCTGCTATTTTGTGACTACATCACTCGGATGTCCCTTTGACGTTCCGCAACATTGCAACGTCTTTTCGGCTAGTGCAGCACTCGAATAAGAAGAAGCAGAACACAAAACCCGTTCTAGTCCTGCTTCGGGTGGTTGTGGGTGGGTTCCACGTTACGAAGACGGCGCGACCCACGACCACTCCATGGGTGGGGCGCGCCGTGGCACTGTGACACACCCGAAACCCCTAAACCCTAAAAGATCAACCCCAGTGCGCCTCATCCGGCTGGAGGTCGTTCTGAGGAAAGTCGAAAAGGAGCGAGGATGCCAGCTGCCAGCTGCCTTCAGAAGTGCTTCCAGGTTTGGGGCTTAGGGTTTCCTTGGAGGGTCGGGGGACTTAGTAAGCAGGTAGTAATTAAAATTTTTAAATACTCTAAAAAGGACATTAATTGGGGTTATCGTAGTTATAAGTCCCTAAAATAACCAGTTACTAAGTCCCCCGACCCTGCAAGTAGGGTTTTCAGGTTTGGGCTCAGGCTTTCCCACAAAGCCCAATACCCTCTAATTCAGGAATATTATCTTAAAGTCAAGGGGCCTAATAGTTAATAGTATGGCTGGAGGAAAATTCCTCAATTCAAGGCCATTGGCTGTTGGGCTCTCTGGGTTCGGGCTTCGTGTTTAAAGATTATATAGTTTTGGGCTGATGAAGGTTTACGGCCCAGAGCTTTGGGTTCAGAGCTGAGGGTTGGGCGCTTCGGGTTGAGAGTTTGGGGCGTTGAGCTGCTAAAGGTTTGAGGCCTCGAGCTTGGGTTTAGGGTTAGAATCCTAATTCTCGGGGATCATGGGGAACCAAAGGTTAACCTTTTTTGGGGGTATAAAGGGATTATATAGGGACTAGACTGCCCAAAAAAAGGTGAAAGGTTACCCACTCTACTATTAGGGAATTTAGGCTAGGCCTTGGGTTTTTACACCTTCAAAAGCTATCGCTGCTGTCAGAGAAACCCCTGGGCATAGCCCCCCCCCCTCAGCTTTAGATCCCATCTCTTCTCCATGGTGCAGTTGGGTCGATCTGGTTGCCGACACAAGCGGGGACAAATGAACAGCAATGTCCAGTTTTCGTCTTGCCATGACAGTTCCGATTTAGGCACCTGGTACTATTGAGGCCTGGATAACTTGACGGTCGTGCTTTCTTGGAGGGCACGGGGGCATAAACGAGGGAACGCTTACTATTACACTTCGTCTTCAGGCCCCATCGTAGTCGAAGGTTCTTAGGTCTTAGGATTGCTGTGGGTTTATGGTTCAGAGCTTCGGGTGGCAAAGCTGAGACGGGCCTGTGCACACCTTTTTCAGTTATCGTAACTTTCCCTCTAAGATATAAGACCGGATGCTTAACAAACCCGACTTCAAGACTGGTAAGCTCCGTGGGAGCACAGTGTAGGACCGTAAGCATTTAGTACAAGGGCTATCCTGCTTCAGCCTACTTCCTCGTATACTTGAGCCTCCACCTGTGAACCCTAAATCCGACCTGAATAATCAACAGCCCTCGGCCCTAATACAGCAGCCCTCATAACTAGAACAGGGTTTTGCCATTCGGGGTACAGAACAGGGAACCCTATATGGTCTTAGTCACCAAGTACACAAAGCCTCCAGAGAAACCCGAAACTTGACACCCTAAAGTGCGAATATGGAAGTTGGGAACACTAAGATAGCATCACCCTATAGTCTATATGCAACTATCGCAGAATATGCGCCCAAACCCTGTTCCGAGTATCAAGGCCCCAGTGTTACAAAACCAAGGCACTGGCGCGCTCCAGCGCACTAAGGCAAGCATTGGCAGAGGTCAGGCTGGGCAGTGGGAAGACGGTTCCTTCGGAGACTTACTTTTGGTTAGTAGGGTTTTGGGGTTTAGGGTTTAGCCTTGTTGCAGTCTGTGGTACTTAGCTTTGGTTAGTCGGGAATGGAAGAATGGTAGTAATAGTAGTGATAATTGTATCCCATTCCTTCATTCCCTACTAACCAAAGGTAAGGTTAAGGTTAATGTTAGATTTGGGGTTTCAGGTTGAGTTGAAGGTTAGGTTGACGGGTCTCGGGTCTAGGGCCAGTCTAGGGCAGCGGCAGGGGGTTAAGGGCTTAGGCTTCACAAGCAGAAGCTATGACACTGACTTTTAGTTTTTTGGCCAGAGCCTAAACCCTACACCTTTTGACTCCCAAATTCTCTCTGCAGCTCTGGAGATTGAACTGAAATCCCCAAGCACCGAAGCAGAAACCCTGCTCCCCATAGCGTAGGGGCTGGCAGAATGCAACAGGATTTTTTTTGGGGGTATGCTATGGCACGTATTAGTCTGAAAGAGTACGGAACCCAAAGGAATCAAATTGGCAACGACATAGGCGTCTATAGTACCGAAAGTTAAAGCTACTACTACTACTACTACTACTACGACTACTACGACGACTACTACTACTACTACTACGACTACGACTACGACTACGACTACCACTACTACCAGTACTACCAGTACTACCAGTACTACCAGTACTACCAGTACTACCAGTACTACCAGTACTACCAGTACTACCAGTACTACCAGTACTACCAGTACTACCAGTACTACCAGTACTACCAGTACTACCAGTACTACCAGTACTACCGGTACTACCAGTACTACCAGTACTGCCGGTACTACCAGTACTACCAGTACTACCACTACTACTACTACTACTACCACTACCACCACTACTACTACTACTACTACTACTACTACTACTACTACTACTACTACTACTACTACCACGACTAATGCTACTGCTACTACTGCTGCTACTACTACTACTGCTGCTGCTACTACTACTACTACTACTTCTACTGCTACCAAAACAACGACGACGGCTACTACTACCCTTGAGCCCTGTGCACGCACGGAAAACCTTGCGCCCTACACACAACAAGAACCCTTCACCCACCGGCCCCAAACACAAGCCCTAACATCTGTATAAGGCGGAACATCTGTCTCATCTCTCAGCCTTTGTGCTGTTCACTTGAAGAGTGAACCAAACCGATATCCCTGTAGCCGCCCATATCTGTGGCTGGAATTTGATTGGCCTTCAGATGCCTTCATACTCCCCAAATCAAACAGCCTGAGAGTCAAAACAAGCAAAAGTAAGAACTCGACAACCCTAAACCCGAGATCATAAACTGCGGGCCCTAAACCCCAAACCTCACGCTCTAAACCATAAACCCTACTTTAAAGTTCACCCAAAAGACTGAACCCTGAACCTTACGCTGTAGAACCTATAAATCTCCAAAATGCCCCACCCTAAACCTTAAACCCCACAGTATGGATCCCCTATAGATCCCTTCTAGGTTCCTTATATAAACGCTAAACCCAAAGACTCCGATATAGCTTTACTCAGGAATATTCCGTAAATTGTAGTAGGATCCCTTGCATGATTTAAGGTATCTTACGGTATAGCATATTCGTTAAGGCATATTGCAAGCTCTGGGACGGTAACCCTAAACCCTAAACCCAAAAACAACACCGGACTCCTTCTTGGTCCAGCCAAGGCCTCGCCTTCCAGGCGTCCGAAAGCAGCCCTCAGATGGCTTGGAGGGTCGCGGGACTTAGTAACTGGTTAGGGGCCCTAGGGTTCCCTTTAAAGGGCTCCTTTTAAAGGGGTCTATAGGGGCTACTATAAGGGATCTATAAGGGTACTTTAATGTCGGGGGACTTAGTAACTGGTTAGTTTAGGGACTTATAAGTACCATAACCCCAATTAGGGTCCCTTTTGGGGTACATATAACTCTACTTACTACCGACTTACTGAGTCCCCCGACCCTCCAAGTACTCTAAACCCTAAACCCTATACCCTTATATATTCCCTGTAGAACCCTTAAAGGAACCCTAAAAACCCCTTATAGTTACTAAGTCCCCCGACCCTCCAAGGGGACTGCAAGGGCGCCTTTTTGGGGCTATATTCTAGGGTTTAGGGTTTAGGGTTCTACGTGGCCCCCACGAGATGTAGAATAATTAATAATAGGCCTGGTCGTCTTTTACGGGTGTGGGGGCATTGTATGACCGTCCGTTGCGGGTTCTAGATCGAGATTTTGGGGTTTAGAGTTCAGGGTTTAGGGGCTTCAAGGCGTGGGGGCTTTATTTAGGATTTAGGATTGAAGATTTTGGGCGATTGGTTATGTTGAAGGATTTTAGGGCTTGGTGCTCACTTAAGGTTTGGGAATTTCAGGGCTTCAGGATTTTAGGACTTTGGGTTGTTTTGGACATTTAAGAGAACCCCTACCTCAACACCCACCTCAACCAACAAAGCATGGGTCTTTTAAAGCTACCAATTAAGTTTGTTGGGTCTCAGGTATGTCTTAAAACTGGGTTTGGGTTCAGCGTAGTGTCTGTTGGCCTCTCTCGTGCCCCACCTTGTCGTCTTCCGCTGCTTCCGCTGCATCAGCTTGCTTCCATCCCAGAAGGGAGGTGTCTCCTCAACTCAGGCGGAGTCTCATGACGCGACGCATGTCGTCTGCATAGAGCGTATCGCGGCGGGCATGAGCCTGGAGGCCCTTCGCGTCGTGGAATAGGGTTTAGGGTTTAGGGTTGGTTTAGGGTTTAGGGTTGGGCCCACGGGTGATGCGTCTGCCGCAGTTTTCAGTGTGCGATCGCTGAGACTGAAAGTGTCATTGGCGATCTGCTTGCACAGAACTTGCACACTCACGTCTACGCTTTCATAGGCATCTTCCAGTCCCGAGCATCTTGGAAGAAGCAGGCCTGCAAGAGCTTGCGCTGTCTCCAGTGACTCCAGTGGCGGAGCATGCGATTGTGAAGAGGTGGATTTCAATCTTAACAGTTGAAGATGCCAGCATTATCAGGGTTTTAGTTTCGTGGTTTAGGAATCATGGGCGGCAACTTAGCACAAGATATGCCTTTGCAGCCCCATCTAGCAATACTCATATTTAGACGTAATACATAACCCCCCCAAACCTACTCTGAGTATCAATGCCCTTAGAAGCCCTACTTGGAGGGTCGGGGGACTTCGTAACTGGTTGTTCTAGGGACTTGCAAGTACCATAACCCCAATTAGGGTCCCTTTTAGGGTACTTATAAGTCTACTTACTACCTACTTACTAAGTCCCCCGACACTCCAAGTATAAACCCCTGTATGGAGTGTTCAGCCGCCAGCAGCCAGGACTTCGGCAGTGGAAGCTTCTCCGGTTTAGGGTTTAAGGTTTTAGGGTTTTGCGGTTTAGGAATTTGGGGTTTAGGGGTTAGGGTTTTGGGGTTTAGGGTTTTGGAATTTGGGTTGTTGGGGTTTAGAGTTTAGGAATTTGGGGTTTTGGGGTTTAGGGTTTAGGAATTTGGGGTTTGGGGTTTAGGACATTGGGGTTTAGGGGTGCTCCGAATTTGGCCACCTGGCTCGACTGCGATGGAACGCAGCCCTGTAACAAAACCCAAACAGAGAATCCTAACGACCTAACCCCGTGCCCAAACAAACCGAAAAACCTAAAACTCCACATCCGAATCTGCTGGCAGGTGTCCCAGTGCATGCTTCCAGCTGCTGCCGTCGCGGCAAGCCTCGGCAAAAGGCAGAAGGCATGCTCGAATGCGGGATTTGCAGGGTTGAGGGGTGAGGGCTGATCAGGAAATTAAACTAAACTGTAACAATATGGCGAAAAGTCGCGAGCTGTTTCTGTTCCTTAACAGCAAGCCTCAGATGAGGGTTTAGCCGATGGGACTCTGACTGGCGGTGGGTGGACAAAATCTTCCACCATCTGCTCATGCAGACTCCAATCGAGTAAGGCATCAAGCTCCGCACCCTCTACATAACATTGGCAGCTGGGACTACTTGAGCGGTGCAAGATTTCAGCCATTGGAACAAATCTGGACTTTCGCCTTTCACAGCAAATGCTCAAACGGGAGGGGAATCATGAAATGACGCTGCTGAAAAGTGGTCCATTCACACTATAGTCGTTATAAACAACTATATGGAGCAATAATATCAAGGGGGTGATCAGACGGGTCTTTTGCATAGAACTTCAAATTAAAGGAGCTATCAACCTTATGGAGTTCAGAGCTTGAGGATAAAGGTTTGGGGGTTTGCAGTTTTGGGTTTCTGGTGTAGGAGTTAGGGTGTAGCGTTTGGGATTCAGACGTTGGAGCCAGGATTTGGGGTGTAGGGTTTAGTTAGGGTTGGGCTGGTTGGTTGGGGTTGGGTATAGCGGTTTAGAGTTTGGTTTAGTTAGGGTTGGGGTTTGGATTCAAGGGCCAGTCAAGTGGCCGTCACTGCAGCAGTGCAGGTAACTGCGTCCAAGAGCGGTCGGTCTCGCAGCAGGGCCAGCACCACCTGATCGATTTGGGAGTTTCCGAGAATTAGGAGTACCTTCTTGGGTGATCCTTAGAATAAGGATCCTATTATTTGGGGTACTACATAAGGGCCCCTATTTTCGGAAACTCCCATTTCGCTGTGAGGTTGCCGGGCTTTGCGGTTCATTCCAGGAAACCATATCTTTCAGTAACCAAATTAGGGAAGCGGCCGGGCTCAACTTTCGCGGGTGGCGGGTCCGGGGCTTGGGAGTTACAGTAGAAGCCAGAAAGTTGGAATATCATTATCGTATCCCCTTTAAGGTAAATTATAGGGGATCCTACCATTAATCCATATTCCAACTTTCTGGAGTTCCCTTTAGAGGCATAGGGTCTCGAGCTTGCAGTGCCATTGAAAGCAGAAGCGCAGGCACTAAGACGGATGCGTGCTGAAAATGGCTTAGGGTTTAGGATTGGTCCGAACAAATGTCTGTTGTTCTCTGTGTGATCGTGTGCATGTGCTGATTCGTTGCGTTTGTCTAGACTCCAAAATGCTCAACTAAACACTTCGGCGAAATCAAGTAAACTATGTACTGCACTCGGCCGCCACAATAGAAATTGTCCAAGGACCTGCGGGCCTAACGATCCAGACCCACAGCCCAACCTTCCTAAACGCAACGAGTGCGCAGTATGTGCCTCCCACTTAGAGGCATCACTGCAGGCCAAGACCGTCGTGGAGAGTGCGATGAAGCTCGGCCGAACCTTGACGGTGCCGGTCTAGGCTTGGAGTCCAGGATGTAAGGGCTTCGTGCTTCAGGTCTCGGGTCTGCTGCATAAGGATTACAGGATTTAGGGGCTGACGGGTTAGGGTTAAGGGCATATTGCTTCGGGTTCGCGGCTGTTGGGGTCCAGGATTAGGTCTTGTGCTTGGAGGTTCATGGGTAGTGGTATATGTATATATATATATATGTATCTATATATATATATATATATATATTGTATTGTATTAGATTATTACATTATATATATATATATATATAGATCATTCTTCGCAAATGGGGCTATATGTAGGGTAACTAGAATTAGAACCCATCTTAGCAGACTGTACCCCGTTCTTGCTACCCATCAACCTCCAATTGGGGCTTAGGATGGAGGCAGCTCCTGTGGTCACGCTTCCCAAGGTCTCGTCTCAACTTAATGTTTGGGGTTTGGGGCTATGCTTGAAGGACCGTGGGACTTAGTTACAAGGGTTCCGAATTAGGTCACTATAGTTAAAAAAAATGACAACCCCAATCATGTTGCTTGCGACCGTACTTACTAAGCTCCATGCTCCTCCAAGTAGGATCTAGGCTATTAGGTTCGGTGCTCGGGTAGGAGTTGGGGTTTCGGGTCAGGGTGCGTGGTTTGCGGCTCAGGGCAGCAAACCTCCTCGAAGCCCTTTCGCACTATACTTTTCTACACCCGAGGATGCTCTACTATACTCTACTAATCTATGCTGTTGCTCCAACGCAGGCTGCTCAACCCCTTCGACAACACGGACAAACACATGCACCGAACAAGCCTGGCAACACGGTGAACATTGAGGCCGGAGACGGATATCAGGCAAGGAAAAAACAGTAGAAACCCCCAAACCCTAAATCCACAACCACTAAACCCTAAACCCTGGACCCCTAAACCCTGATAACCTAAACCCTAAACCCCTAAACCCCAAACCCTAAATCCACAACCTAAAAGCAGTAGACCTGCCATGGCGGAGGGCTTGGATTTGGGGCCCTCGTGGGCGGTAGAGCTTACCTCCCCGGTCCCCACTTAGGGTTTAGGGTTTAGAGAACGACCTCCTTCCTGAATCGTCTAATACAGGGGCCTTAATAATTAGAATAGGGTTTTGGGGTACATTATACCATAATTTTGATCAGGAGCCCCCCCAAATTAGTATTGGTAATTATTTAGGCCACTACATTACAAGGCTCATCCAGGGTTCATAGTCTGGCGATTAGGGCATTAATTACGGTTTAGGGCCCAGGCTCAGGGTTGAGTAACCAGGACGTGCGTCCTTCATGTCGTGCAAAAAACTTCCCGAATTCGGGACGAACACCGTCATGAATTCTCACGGCGACGTTCTGGTGGCCTACATGCCGCCTCTTCTTGTCCGCTTCAGGATCGCGCCCGGCCGTCGACTTAGTCGAGTGCTGGACGGTCTCACCGAAGCGGCACAAGAGTAGGTGGCGCGTAGCGTCCACGGCCTCCCACAAGGGCTTGCATTCCGTACAGCAACGCGGCTCACACCCACTCGCACGCTTGTCTATTCTCAGATACACACACACACAGACAGACACACCCACAGAAAGACATGCGCGTACAAAGGACCTGCAGGTGCGAGGGCTGCACATCCAAGGGTTCTTCCGGCCTTGGACGCAATGATGAATACGTATCCCTATCGTCTACCCTATACAATATCTATTATGCTACATTGTACTATACTGTGCAATGCTGTGCTATACTATACTCTGCCTGCTATACCATACGATGCCATACTATACTGTACTCTATACTAGACTATACTAGACTATACTATACCTGACTATGCGTTACGCCATTATACTGTAACTGCCGTATGTTTTATGTTACTGAGGCTATACATAAGCATGCAGCTAAAGAGTCAAGGCTTACTTGTAGGGTCGGGGGACTTAGTAAGTAGGTAGAAAGTAGACTTATAAGTACCCTAAAAGGGACCCTACTTGGGGTTATCGTACTTATAAGTCCCTAAAATAACCAGTTACTAAGTCCCCCGACCCTCCAAGTAGGGGTTCAGGGATTCAGTCGCCGAGCAGCTCCGGCACTTCGAAGGCCGAGCAAGGCCACCGCGGCCTCCCAGGAAGAAGTCCGTGCGGCTCCTGGAGGTTTTGAGAGGGTCCAGGGTTTAGGGTTGAGGGTTTAGGGTGTGGGGTTTGGGGTTTAGGGTGTAGGGTTTAGGGTTTAGGGTGTAGGGTTGTTAAGGGCTCCTTTTTGGGTCCGCACGAAGTGTACCGAAAGCCTATTCAGGCGAGATCTGCGTAATTTGAAGTTTACGGTGTGGGGGGCGATACCGATTCGTTGGGGACCTTTAGCACTCCTTGTTCGGAAACACAAGGGAGAGCTTAGGGTTGTGTAAGGGTACCGTAAGGGTTTGTAATGGTTCTATAAGGGTCCTATAACGGTTTTGCAATGATTCTATATTGATCGCATTTTTCTTAAGGGTTCCAGTAAAGGGTCCTTTGACGGGTTACATCGAGGCCTCTTTCTTCGATGAAAATGGCATGGCAGGTTTTAGGGTTAGGGATTTTGCTACCCCTGCTCGTTAAGTTGCGTCGACCGTTCGTTTAGATTAGACCGTTCGTTTAGATTAGAGATTAGGACTTGGATTTTGTTGATGGTTTGCGGTTTTAGCTGTAAGGCTTTGATTGGAGTTTAGCTTCGGGCCGAAAGGGGCTTGACAGGTTTATGTGGGCGTGTGAAGATGGAAACTGATCTGAAGGTTCTGCGTCCTGATCATTCAGGCCTGTACACTACTGGGAGGGTCGGGGGACTTAGTAACTGGTTATTTTAGGGACTTATAAGTACCATAACCCCAATTAGGGTCCCGTTTAGGGTACTTATAAGTCTACTCACTGCCTACTTACTAAGTCCCCCGACCCTCCAAGTAGGATCATGAGGTGTTTCGCTTTAGGGCTCGAGGAGTGGACAGCGCAGCTGACTGAGGCCTCATGGCTTCGGTATACTTGGCTTAAGCCTTTGCGCCCCAATAACCCTTAGCTATCCCCTGATCCTTAACCCCTAGACGCGAAACTAAGCATCAACATGATATTAAGATAGTAATTAGCATCATCATAATAATAATAATGGAATAACAGTAATAATTCAGTAATACAACAATCTAAAAAGAACATGTGAATATACTCATACAATAAAAAGCAATACACCCAAGTCTTCGATCAAAAGGTGGGGAGACTTGGGCTCCCCCAACATCGGCTGCGGCCCCAAAACCGCTCAGGAGAACTCTCTTCAAACCTCAACAGCCCAGTTTAGGGTTCAGGGTTCAAGGGTTCAGGGGTTTAGGGGTTCAGGGTTCAAGGGCTCAGGGGTTTAGGGGTTCAGGGTTCAGGGGCTCAGGGGTTTAGGGGTTCAGGGTTCAAGGGTTCAGGCGTTTAGGGTTCCGGGGTTCAGGGGTTTAGGGGTTTAGGGGTTTAGGATTCGGGGGTTCAGGGGTTTAGGGGTTTAGGGGCTCAGGGGTTTAGGGGCTTAGGGTTCGGGGGCTCAGGGGTTTAGGGGTTTGGGGTTCAGGGGCTCAGGGGTTTAGGGGTTTAGGGTTCAGGCTCTCAGCCTAGGCAGGAAGTTTAAGGCTACTAGAGCGGCACCAAGAGTTAGAATCGGCCGCGGGTGTAAAGCAGATCAGCCAGCTACTATGTGGTGCATGCCTCTTTCATGCTCGTCCTGCGATGGCTGCACCGACGGCCACGACCGATTGCTGCATCTGCAAGCTGAAGAGAAGGTCCAAAGCCATCTGAGATCGGAGTGCTGCAGGTCTATGGGAAGGGTTTGGAGGTTTATGGTAGGGTATTCGGGTTTACATAGACTAAGGGTTTATGGCTGCTGGGTTTTAAGTTAAGGTTCTGGGTTGTGCGGCTCGCGGGATCGTAGCATGGAGCTTCGGCAGCAGACTGGTCTAGCTGAATTTTGAAGCTTTAGGGTGCGGATTCATACAAGTATGATGGCACAAGGACTAGGACGTACTATCATCCTTATTCGCCCTCTGAAATCTTAGACCTTAATTAAACCCTAAGTCATAAGCCCCAGCCCTCCAACTTAAATCTCAAGCCCTCGGAGCCTAGTCGACGAGGCTCTTACATTCGACCAGTGCGCAGTTTGCTGGCTGTTGAAAGGTGGAGGCACAGGTATCGTAGAACTGGTGCTCCCCCATCAAAAAACCCGGCTTCTCTAGCAAAGTTAGGGCTTAAGGTTTAAGGGCTTGCCCCTGAAAAGCCCTGTGCACCCCAAACCCTCCAACCTCAAGCCTGAACTGATCGCCAAACTGTAGCTCATAAACTCTTAAAGGGAACTCCAGAAAGTTGGAATATGGATTAATGGTAGGATCCCCTATAATTTACCTTAAAGGGGTTACGATAATGATATTCCAACTTTCTGGCTTTTACTGTATCCCTAAAAAGGGCCGGAACAACTCCAAACATTTGGCTTTCTTCAGGTGCCTGCCACTGGGCATTGCGGCTGCAGCAGCTGACGGCGGCACTTCCCACGAAATCCTCTCATCGCCATCGGAAACAGCTTTCGGATTTAGAGTTACTAGATGGGTTACTATACGGTTTAAGGTTAAGGGTTTAGGGTCTAGGATTCTGCATTCGGTGCTCCGCTCCGGAGTTACGGCTTAGTTCCTGAATTCTTGGAGACCCTGACATTGTCTATCGTGACTGAAACTAGAGGTGACAGCAACAGAGTCTAATAATTCGAGGTGCCACAATAAATAAACGTAAATTCTGAAATCCATGGAAGCCACTGGTCTTTTTTCAGAAGCTCTTTACTGAGTTCCCCCGGGTCCACACTCCAAAGTTGGGCCCCTGTTTGCTGAAACTCCCGAGTGGGCTGCTGGTGTTCTTGTCCCAGTTCAACCCTAAGCCGCAGACTTCTCGATGTGCAGAAGCTGATGATGTCCTCCAAAACCCGACAAGGCCAAGGCCTCAAACCGAAACCCCCAATCCAAACCCCAAACCCGTAAGCTCAAGGCCTGCAGCCTTACTGTGTGTCTCTGTGTGTGTGTGTGTGTGTGTGTGTGTGTGTGTGTGCGTGTCTCTCTCTCTCTCTCTCTTTCTTACCCGCCCCCTGCCTCTCTCGAAGGGCAACACCCCTAAACCGTAAACCCCTGTTGTCCCCTCTGGCTCTCTCCCTCCATTTATCACCCTTGTCAAGCACGAAAACCCGTACGAGGCCCTACCACCTGACATAAACTTGAAGTACATCGGACTCTAAACACCCCCGGTAACAAACCCAGTTCACAACGGCCGTGAACCCCTTAGTGGACCCTAAAGCAAGACCATTATGCGGCCCCAGGAACGTCAGCGGGCACACGCCAGGTCCGCAGGTCCTCGAGAATCCTTGGAACAGAAAGGACCAAACGATCCCGGACGGGCACCAGCGAGCGAGCGAGAGAGTGAGGGGTCCAATGAAGGTCGCATAGGTTGCTATCAGCGTTTCGTCTATCGAAGTTTTCTATAAAGGGGTCTTAGTGTTGATGGTATAAACCCTGCAATACCTTAGGACCCTAAACTACGGTTATGGGCAATGCAGGATTTACATCATCAGCCGTAGAAGCGTAGAAGCCCTTTGTAGTTCGGCGATTCCCTGCGTTTGAATTTCGGGCTTTTTCTGTTGATTTCGGTGTTATATAGGGGCCATAATGATTTGAATAGGGTTTTGGGGGGCCGTTATGCTATATTTACAATAAGGAACCCCTAACATAGTAAGTATCGGTAGTTGTTTAGGCCCCTGTGCTAGGCTGTACTTGTCAAGATGTTCAAGCTCCGGGGCTTGCTTTGCTGTGGAGGAGGAGCGGCATGGATTTCTTGCGCATGGCAAGGTCGTCCTCTAATGTCCCCTCTTAGGACCACTATGTGCGGCTGCAGCAAAGAGCTACAGGACTTCGGGCTACGTGCTCTAGCTGGTAATACAGGAGGCACTACCAAACAATGCACCAAACATTCGCTTCGCAACCTCCACAGGCGGTTGGAGGAACCGTGGCCGTGAGCCGTTGCATCGGCCCGCCTTGCCTCGGTGAAGGCGTCTATGACATCGTCAACTTCTTTTGCTACCTGTCAACGACACTCCGTCGATCGCGCAATTTTGGTTGTCCTCACCGGATGGTAACAGGGTCATCGAACTCCCGTTGCCAATGGGTGGTTGCGTGGCCGAATGGTGCGCATTACCTCGTCCAAGCGAACCTTCTGCGGCCGCCTATCGTGCGCCAGCTTCGTGACGTGGGCCACTGCAATGCGGATTTCTCCGGTCTAGCAGGCCGCTGCACATGCACATGTGTTTGATCTGATTGGAATCGACTGAACCCACCACCAATCCGCGTTAAAGCCTCCAAAAATTCACACGGAGGCGTTCATCACGACCAGAATAGGGTTGTAAAAGGGTTGCAAAAGGGTTCGAGGGAGATTAGGTTCAGGGTTCAAGGGCTTTACTACTTTAAACATGAGTAAGGATTTTAGGATGATTTCCTGCATAGTTAAATAGGGATTGGTTATCATAACTAGTTAGCACTGACAATGATTCAGACCTCGATTTATTAAGCCTGCCTTCCATGGCACAAACACGGAAGATGCCAAAGCTCGGCGGACCACTGTTCGGCTTCGGGATTCGTAAACCCACCAGTTAGGATAATATAGGGGCCTTGACGATTAGAATAGGGCTTGGGGGCCCATTATACTATAGTTACAATAAGGAACCCCCAAAATAGTCTAGGTTGTTATTTAGGCCTCTATATTCTACACTCCGCATCACTGCTCAACCAGATGGCTGGATCAGTAACACCGATAGAGCACCGCACCATGCACACGTTGAAGTCCAAACACGCTTCCAAACAGCCCTAAACAAGTACGGCGCGCCGCAAGTGATACCAGAAACTGAATGTTCAGGGTTTAGCGCAGGTTTAGGGTGCCAAACTACCCAAACAAAATCCCCCCCCGAAACTACTTCTTCACTCTTCCGTGCCAAGCTGCCGCAGCACCCAAGGCCAGGGTAGCCTCCAGTCCCCCCAGCCAGGAAACCCCCGGTTTATTGCAGGTTTTGATTGATTTACAGTAGAAGCCAGAAAGTTGGAATATCATTATCGTAACCCCTTTAAGGTAAATTATAGGGGATCCTACCATTAATCCATATTCCAACTTTCTGGAGTTCCCTTTAATGGTCCAGACTAACCTGGAAAGGTACAGGTTTAAAAAGATTTTAAGCCTCACGGAGGTTGTTTACTCGCAAAGGCGCTTCAATACCGCTTTGCCTGGAGAGCAGGTTCCTTTTCTTGGGACAAGCACCCTCACCCTGCCCCTGAACCAACATACAACCTGGGAAAGGGCCCACCATGCTTTTGGCCATATATATATATATATATATATATATATATATTCGTTATGTGTCCCTTTGAAATTAGCGGAGGGAGGAATCGATCGGTCCTCAAGCAGCCTCAACAGAGCACCCCGGGCTTCAATGCACTAAATCCAAAAGCCCGAAATCCGAAAAACCCTAAACGCGAAAACCCTAAAGCCCCCGAATCCCAAAAGCTGTCCTAAACCAACCGCGAGAAGTGCTCATGCCCGGAATTCCACACAAAGTTTAGTGAGGAGGGATCTGGGTTCTCGGATAGGGCTGGCATCTTGGACGATGCGGCTTTAGGATCTTCCGGGTTAGGATTTAGGGCAGGGTTTCGGGTTCAGGATTTAGTTTAGGGTTGAAGGCGTCGGGATTTAACGTAGGGTTTCTCTTAGTTTTATGGGGCCGAAGCCACGAGGAACCATATTAAAGACCCCCCGCCCCACCACAGTGTTGGTAATTATTTAGGCCCGTATATTAAGGCCAGATCCCCGGATTCTCTCGAGGCCGTGGCCCCTTCGCACCGAATGCGGAGGCAACGGCCACCGGGTCCTCCCGGGTTGTTTACTTCAGAGCTTGGTGAGGTGGTGATAGGCTTTTAATGAATGTAAGATGTCTTCGAATATGAGTGCCCCTGTGGGAAGAAGTGAGTTGCCAGGCTCGGGAAGTAAGGAAGCAGAATGCATTCAGTGAAATACAGAACAACTTGTATTTCGAATGGGATCTTGGTGTATAACATATGGTATAACGATATAGGGACTATAAGGGGGTACTCTTTACCAAATGTTGGCATCTGCAGCCAAAGCTCCCTGTGAGATATTTTGGAGTTGGTATGGCGATGTTGCATCTGGAACATGGCAGCTTCTGAAGTGGGATGTTTTGTTTTCAGCTATCCGGTGCGAAAAGAGCCCCTCTCTACACTCTTCTGCTGCCCCGCTGCACTGAACCGTTCTGCCGTTCACCCTGAACCCTAAACCCTGTATGGGAGTTTCCGGAAATAGGGGACCCTAACATAGTACCCCAAAAAAGTAGGATCCTTACTATACGTTAATCAGGACCCCCAAATTCGGACACCCTGGCCCTAAACCCTTATACAGCCCTTTAAAGGGACCCTTATAGTAACCCTTTCAAGGAACCCTTGAGGTACCCCATGCATATTTTCGGAAACCCTGAACCCTTATAGAGCCCTTTAAAGGAGCCCTTATAGTAGCCCTTTAACGGAACCCTGAGGAAACCCAACAACGGAATTCCCGCTCCGGCTTGCACGTGGCCCGGTCGTGTTCAAGGAGTACCAGCGCCTCAACGAAAGACGCGGAGCATATTGCGGTTTAGGGTTTTGGGTTTAGGGGTTTAAGGCTTAGGCATGCCTGCATGCCAGCACAAACTTGGATACTCTAAACCCTAAACCCCTAAATGCCTTCATATGTTGTTTGACAGTGCTCCGTAACTTGGGCTCGGGCTTCGGGCAAACAGCCGATAGTATTCGGGTATTGAACCTGGAAAGTCAGTAAAGATACCGTGGTTTAAGGCTTTGGGCTCAGGGCCTTCGGGTTTGGTGGTCGAATGTTGGTGACATCCAAGGCCGCGCTGCAGAGGGCGGCTGCCTGCGCAAGCTGATCAAACACCAGGCAGGTGAAGTTGTATCGGTTTCGGCTGAAACGACTGTGAGTGCTTTTCAGACTCATCCCCTCTCCCCGAGGTTTTGGGTTTAGTTCCCTCCTTGGGTCTCCTTTTCATGTAGGTGTAAGGTGTCGTCACCGACGAACACACCTCTTCAATATGCGCGTTTCATTCTCTGACCCATCTGCTAGGTTGGCGCACCTGCAGTCAATCAATATATATATATATATATACATATATATATAGTATATATATATATATATATATTGTATATATATATATATATATATATATATATATATGCCTTGGCGTTGGCGTCCTTCAGGACTTGGTCCTGCTCCGTGGCGGCTGGTTTCGCAGCTGCCACCGTAATGCTTCTGAAGGCTTCTCCAGGCTTTGCCTCCAGCAACCACCATTGCAGGGTTTGTTGCACTCCGGCAGGTATTGCGTAATACCCTCACGAGGTTGGGCACTGGGGATACCCTTAAAGGCGTGGGTTTAGGGTTTTGGGTTTAGGGCCTAGACCGAATAAGGACACCATGTATATACCGGCTGACTCATCTGAAACTGCTCGTGCACGGCATGCCAAAACACCTGTCTCGCATCTCGCCCGCATCTTACATGTCCATGAGCACTTGGAGGGTCGGAGGACTTAGTAAATAGGTAGTAAGTAGACTTATAGGTACTGTAAAAGGGACCCTAATTTGGGTTATGGTACTTATAAGTCCCTAAACTAACCAGTTACTAAGTCCCCCGACCCTCCAAGCAGCCTCTTGCTGCCGAGTCAAAGATCCCGCCTTGCTGCATGGGCATGGTATGATATGTTCAATAACAGCAACGATCATGACATCGGCAATACTAAACACAAAACTCAAATGATGCAGCACATAACAGAACTACAATTTTAACTTACCTGTTTGCTTGACCAAACAACTGGCTTCAACGAGACTTAAACTTAAACGGTAAACCCTAAACTCCTACTCCCTAAACTAGCAAACCATCTGTCGATATCGTCGGACTTCCGAGGCTGTTGCCGCTGGCCATGCCGAAGCCTTGCTGCAGGCGGAAATCGCCTTGGAAACGTTCCGACAGAGGTACGCGGAGACCGCTTCAAGGTGCCAGGCTTTAAATATTGAAGGGAGTTTAGGCTCTTACCTTGACTGTCCTCTTCTGGGTTGACCTGTTGATTCGTTACGGTCCCACATCAATGATTCCAGCGTCACTGCAAGATCAGTGAGGTACGGTGGGATGGGTGAAAGCAGTAGCTTTCACTCATCGGATGTTTCGCGCCGTGCTGCACACACTTCCCTGAGATTCAGACAGCAAATCGTCCCTGAAACATGGCAAGCAGTACTGCAGCCGAACCAGATGCAAAGACACCCGACAGTTCTGCTCCTGAACCCCCAAACCCCAAGAAAGCCGCGGAAGTTGAAATGCCCATCAACCCCTGCTATGGGGGGATCTTAACATTAGAAGGGTTGTTTTTGTTCGCTTTCTTGGAGCCGTTTGTAGGGTTTTGCATACTTGAGAAAAAAGGAGCTAGAATATATTTTGCGGTGTATGGAACCAGGTGATACTGGCATTTGTAAGTCAGCCCCCAATATCAAACGTGGAAAACCCTGCCTCTGAGAGCAGCTCTGCATTTCGATGCACGACATTCTTGACCGGCAACCGCGCCAGGTAATCAACTGCCTCTTGGCATGCGTCAGCATGTGAGGGTTCCTAAAGAGGCTTAGGCCGGCTCAACATTGGGGCATGCCCTGGACGTCGTCGGGCATCGAAGGTATGATGGTTGAGCATGCCGAGAATGTTCGACTGAGAAGTATCAAGAACCCTCGACGACGCCGCTGTGCTAAGCCTAATTCAGAGGCCTTGATAATTGGACTAGGGTTTCTGGGTATATTTTACTATACTTATGCTGAGGACCCCCCGGAAAAATAGTATAGGTAGTTATTCAGCTCCCTATATTCAAAGCATAAAGAGATGTCTCCATCTCGAGGATCTTCCTGCTGCGATTCCTTCTGCAATAGCATTCTGTCCGGACACGAGTGGGGCCATAGCAGGCTCGCTGAACCCTAAACCGTGGATTCTGGTGTACAACAACTGTCCGTAATAATGAGACTCAAACAATAATGATGACAATCATAATTTAATCGTAGCAATAACCATCGTCGTCATCATCATCGTCATAATAACCAAATCATAATAACAAACATGTCAATACAGAACCGGACGCTTTGCAGGCCCAGTGTCCCATAAGTATCAATAAGAAAATGGGAATAACAAAATAATAACAATACGTAATCGTAATAGTAATGACAATAGTTGTGCAGCAATACTAACAATAGCAATTATAATTACAATTGTGACGGTGATGATAACAGCAATATTTGCAACGGCAATTACAACACTACCACGTAAGTCTCTTGGTTCTGAATACTTGGAGGGTCGGGGGACTTAGTAACTAGTTATTTTATGGACTGATAAGTACCATAACCCCAATTAGGGTCCCTTTTAGGGTACTTATAAGTCTACTTACTACCTACTTACTAAGTCCCCCGACCCTCCAAATAGGGGTATCAGGCCGAGAGTTCAGGTGTGAGGGCCGAGCGCGAGGGTTCAGGCCGTCTCGATTCATGCTCCGAGGCGTCTGCCGGATCTTGCATCAGTTAAAGGGAACTCCAGAAAGTTGGAATATGGTTTCAGGGTAGGTAGGATACCCACAAAGGGTTTAAGATAATCATATTCCAACTTTCTGGCTTTTACTTCATCACATGAGCTACCTTGCAAGGGTTGACTTATGTTGAGGCTGCCAGTGAAAACACAGCCACGTCGTCATCGTGGAGCCCATGCATGGCGACGGCGGTTACAGTTCCTGGAAGGCTTTGCTTTTAGGGGTCAAGGTTTAGAGTGTAGGGTTCCAGTTCCTGAAATTATGTGGGAGTTTCCGAAAATAGGGGACCCTAATATAGTACCCTAAATAGCAGGATCCTTACTATAAGGACCCCAAATAAGGGACCCTAATTTTCGGAAACTCCCATGTCTGCGAAGCCACCGACAATCCCTAAACTTCAAGGCCAAAGTCCCCCCGTGTGCAGTTCATGTGTGAGCCCTCTTTCCCACCTCTGTCCACTGCCCTGCACGCGAGAAGAGGACCAGTTGCCTGGCCAAGAGGGTCCGTCTTCAGTTCCCCGAAACAGCATTACGAAAACGATCCTAAAACGGAAACTAATTTTGGAGAGCTACACATTTAAGCTCCGGAGTCGGAAACAAATGCCAACGTACGAGACGTCGTCATCCCAAACCTTTCGGCAGTTCACACAGTCACACACAGTCGTGATCCACGATTTTCATGGTCCCTACTACTACTACTACTACTACTACTGCTGCTACTACTACTGCTGCTACTACTACTGCTGCTACTACTACTGCTGCTACTACTACTATTACTACTATTACTACTACTACTACTACTACTACTACTGCTACTCCTGCTGCTAGTACTACTACTACTACTACTACTACTACTACTACTACTACTACTACTACTACTACTACTACTACTACTACTACTACTACTGCTACTGCTACTGCTACTGCTACTGCTACTGCTACTGCTACTGCTACTGCTATCACTACTGCTACCCCCATTTGCATTCCCAATCCCATTCCCAGTCCCACTGCCACTCCTACTCCTACTGCGACTGCTATGGCCACTGCTGCTACCCTCCGCGCTGGCAAACACAATGACGGCATCAAATTTCTTAGAAAACCCAACAGAACCCCAGTCCTTCTTAGATCCAAGAAATTATCTGAGCCTGAACGGCCAACTCTTAGCATTCGGGGCTTAGGATTTAAAATTAGATTAGGGTTTAGGGCCGAGGGTTGAAGGTTTCGAGATGTCGTAAGCCGCGTATCCTAGCGCCCGACGTTCACACCCAAATCACTACAACCCGCACCCCGTTGAACCTCATATCCCAAACGATGTTGGAATCGAAACATTTCAACTCGCTGTAAAACGCCTGTACAGAACCCGTCAGATGACGACATCGTTCAAGGACGCTGAACCCTGCAAACTTCACCAAGACCCTTAGACCAGTGCCCCAGAAAATTGACCGCCGACTTCAACGAACCCTGAATGCACTACCTGTTTGTGTAAAACCTACTAAAGTAAGCCTATCATGTGTACATATATACGTATATATATATATATATATATATATATATACATACATGCATGCAGTCATTTTCGTGGTTATACATGTGTGCCTTCCTCGATATACATGTATATATAAATATATATATATATATATATATATATATATATGCACATACATACTTCATAGTCATGTTTGTGTATGTATACACGTGTCTAAAGATTATGTACTCCAAGAACGACATACAGACATACATATATATATATATATATGTATGAATATGTTCATATACACATATATGTATACAAATATGTACATGTACATACGTGTCTATGCATCTGTCTTTTAGGGGCCTGGTGGCGGCTCTCGCCTTCTCCTCGGCGGCCCTGACAGCGGGTCCCAAAAGAAGCCAAGACTCTCTTTTCCAAACAGAGTTTATAAACCTTAAACCCTAACCCCAAAACCCTCTAAACCCCCAGAACCCCTAAACCCTAAAGCCTAAGCCCCTATAAACCAAAAACCCTTTTTGTTTCAGGGTTTCTGTTGCATGCCTTTTTTCTCTGTCAGCCCACTGGTCCTCCAGTACGCCTATTTCTAGGGTTCGGGGTTTTGGAGTTTCGGATTTGGGGTTTGCAATGTCGGAGTTTCAGGATTCAGTGTTTGGAGTTTAGGGTTTCGGATTTTTGGTTTGAAAGGTAGGAGTTTGGGTTCAGGAGGGTTCCGGATAACAGGTTGCAAGCAGATAATGGCAACGATAGAAACGATACCGACACTGATAATGAGCGTTAGAACAACATTGAAAGCTGTCATGGAGAAAGTTGTGATAGAGGTAAAAAACAGTAGCAAGAAGAAGACCTGCATGGTACGGTCAAAAGAGCACAAAGAATACTGGTGAGCACAAAAACATGATCCATCTTCATCTAATCGTTCTTGTGGTGTTAATATGTGTTAATCAGGAAAGTGAGAGGGTCTTTCACGGTTCTGAAACCGGTTGTCTGCTTCAAAGGCCTAATCATAGCATCCTCGGATCCTGAGGGTTTAACTAATCTTGTATTATAGACTCCAAAACTCCTTCAATTAAGGAATAGTCCTTCAAACACTGCAGGGGTCCGTAGGAGGAAGCATACTTCAGGGCCGTTGGGGTCTCCGGAGTTTAGGCTTCATAAGTTTTCTTGTTCAAAGTGCTGAGTAGAATTAGAGTTTTGAATTCAGTAGTTTCCATTTTAAAGTGCTGAGAAGGTTTAAAGTTTAGGGTTCTGGGGTTTAGTTTAGGTCTCAGAAGGGCCTCTGCAGTGTTTCACGATTCGGTAGGATTGATCCAGAGGGGTTAGAAGGGGCCCCCACCCTGTAATAGTGGTATAATAGGAACATAGTAGGGCCCTAGTATAATCCCACTATTACAGGGTGGGGGTCCCTTCTAACAAAGGGGTTTGTGTCGGGTCTGTTGTTATTCGCAGGGGATGGGGTTTGGCCGTGGATTATATAGTACTAGCAATGTTTTGGGGCTTCCAAACATTGGACTGCTTTGAGCCGGACTTCAAGGCAAGGCTTAACCGTGAACCCTTGCAGGCTCCCCTGTCATCCCATCGCCCAAATCCCTTTTTTTACCGAAACCCTGAAAGACCCCCGGGCTCCCGCACTTGGCACTGCGCCGGAGAGCGTGTCGAAACATGCGGAAGGGCCCGGCATCTTGTTTCTAAGGCGTCCAGGGGCTCACATTTTATGGCTGCAAGGGATCAACCCTAAACCCTAAACCCCTAAGCCCCTAAACCGTGATTAACGGCCCCAGTGACAATGCCACATCGCTTTTTTAAGGAGGACAGCCCTCTTCCTTATACAAGTCCTTAAAACGGCAGGTTCTTCAGGGTTATCTAGGATACCCAGTAACCTAAGAATAAAAAGGCCTCTCTTTTTGGTATTGGGTAACTTTAAAAGGAACCTAGGACTACAAAAAGGGAATAAGGGTACTACTGGGCATCCTAGTTAAGGTAGGGTTTATAGGGTTTAGGATGTTGAGAGCCTTACAGTTCAGACAATAGACTACTTGGAGGATCGGGGGACTTGGTAACTGGTTATTCAAGGACTTATAAGTACGATAACCCCAATTAGGGTGCCTTTGTAGGTTACTTATAAGTCTGCTTACTACCTGCTTACTAAACCCTAAACCCTATACTACCCTTATAGAGCCTTTAGAGGAGCCCTTAGAATCCCCTTTAAAGGAGCCCTTACAAAGTCCCCCGACCCTCCAAGTAGACCCTCGCCTTCTAAGGCGTGGTGAAGACGAAACATGGTGGGTTTGGGGCCTTTCGGGGGGGATTGGGATCTGAGGGATTGCTCTAACCCGTGACTCCAACTGGCGTGCACAAAAACTGCATCAAACTGACATGGGACACTTGCGTCTCAGCCTTCAGGGTTTAGATGTAGAGTCAAGGATGATTTCTGCACTGCTCCAGCTCCGCAATGCATCTGGGCACATGCTGTGGGGTTGACTCGCAAACCATGGACACAACGTTCGGCTGTCAGTCGCTATCCAACTAGACATTATGCAGTATCATCCTATGCGATACTATACGGTTCTAGACTATACCCCATGATATCCTGGTGTCATTATCAGCGGCGCTAACCTTACATGGAGCTGCGATGGCTGAGACGACGCCACATCAGCTGCGTTTGCAGTTTAGGCTTCAGGGGACACCAATAACTGCCCATGGACCCCAAGTAGGGTCTATATAACTCTTGAAGGATCTTCTTGTGGGCTTCTTAACTTGTGGGTCCCCCTAACATTGAACGATGGGGGCCAACACAAACTCGAAAAGCGTTGTTGCTATTGCTATGGTTATGAATAAGGGTGTCTTTTAATCTCTATTTCCCCAACGGGTCCTAGGTACCGCTATGGGGGATACTTCCCGAAATCATAGTAGTAATTCCAAATATAGAAACCCTGCATTCTACTATAAAGGTACTTTGGACCCTTTGGGTTCATGTTGGGAGGATCTTGCCGCAATCTTGCCTTTGCACCTGCTCCGGCTCTTGCTGTTGCTCCTACTCCCGCTGCGGCTCTTGCTCGTACTCCTGCTCTTTCTCTTGCTCCTGCCCTTGCTGTTGCTCCTGTTCTTGCTGTTGCTCCTGCTCTTGCAATTGCTTCTGCTGTTGCTCCTTCTCCAGAACCCCCTAACTCGGCGGGGATAATTTCAGCGGGATTTCCCAGTGTTCTTATTAATATGGAATATTATAGGTGGTGTTTAGTATAAGGGCGAAGGGGTTAGATTAGGTGGTCTACCCCGACATCGACCGCACTCACATTCAAATGATAAGTATGTCGTGATCATCTGCTCCTGCTCACCAGTGTCTCCTCGGAACACCCCTGCTAGTTTGATAGCTTTTTGCCTTGAATGCCGCGCGATCAATTCGGTCGAGTGAACACCGGCGCAGACTTTATGTAGGTCATTCATCCACCCGACAGTGCGAGTCGAGCGTCCTTGCATGCCACGCCTCACGCCCGCTCCACTTCATTCGTCATGTCATGGCTCCCGTGCAGTCTATTTAGGATGCAACCCTAACCTCCGAACCCTGACGACAGTTTCCTAAAATTGGCCGAATGCTCGAAGTTTCGAGAAAACCCACATGAGGAACTCAGACTGCTCAGTGTGACTATGGCCCTGCGCTGAAGCTGCTCAGAAGGAAGCTTCGTCCTGGCCCAGAGACTCCAAAACCCCCTTAATTAAGGAGTATATTTTAAGGAATATACTTTAAATCCTAGTAGGGCCCCTACCATTTATTCAAGGTATAATGTTCCTGTGTAAAGGCGCAGTATACCTTAACGAATATTTGGGTTCCTATCATCATTGAATTTGAAGTCTATTCCTTCATGAAGAGATGTTGGAGTTTCTGGGAGCATGGCAGGCAACTTGTGGTCTGGTAACTTTCAGAAAAGATACGTGGGCGTTTATTAGGATTTAGGGTTTAGGGTGTAGGGGCTAGGGTTTTGGGTGTCATGTTTTCTGTTTTGGAATATTGTACATGGGTCTGACCAACTAATATATCATCGCCCTCAAAGCCCTTCATAACTATATAGTGATGCACACGAAAACCGTTTCCAAATCTTCCAGAAAGGGTTGCTCGCGTTTTCTGGCCATCTAACTTCCTGAAACTCTTAGCGTATGTAACGATATAGTATAACCTTTACAAAGCCCTCACCGTAACCCCTCCAAGAATGGGAACCCCATCCAAATTAGCAAGGCCGCTATGCTGTATTTACGAGGTTCCTGAGTATTCCCTTTATCATCAGGCTATATACCCCTTTTCCTACTACTCGGTTTTAATAAGGGGACCCTAAAGAAGCACGGCACACGGGTACTGCTCAGGAATCTAATGTTAGTGTCTGTTGTTTTCTGAAACTCCCGTATGGCTCCGGGTGTTTCAGGTCTGCTTTCAGGGATCCGATCACCGTGCCCAATTTGGAGGTTCATGAGTAGTTATAAGTGGAGTCATAGGGTTTCTTGAAGGGCTCTGCAGGGTTTAGGGGTGAGGCGGTTTGGGGGTTAGGGCTTCCCTTGTCGTTGTCGTCCCGGAGCTTCTGCAATTCATCGACTTGGATCTGGTTCTACAGAACTCGGTTTAGGGTTTAGGGCTTTAGGGGTTTAGGGTTTAGGGTTTTGGGTCACCACGACACCTTCCGGATGTACAATATCACAGCCAACACTATGCTTAATTCATTTCTTAACAAGAACCAAGACTCGGGTTGGGCCCCTAAACCCCTGAAGCCCTAACCCCTAAGTAAAGATACTTGGTATTGAAAGCCAAGCGATCTGATGCAAGACATCCTAGGCCATTTCTAAACCCTAAGCCCTAAATCCTGAAAAAGAACCCAAAGGCTCCATGTACCTTAATAGTAGATACTTAAGCCTTAAAGAGGTCCCTATATAGGCACTTTAAGGCCTAAATACCTACTATATGGGTGCATGAAGCCTCAGGGGAAAGACTCAAGCTCTAAACACGCCCCGGTCACCAAACCCAACGCATCCCAAGAACCTTAACTCGACAACCCTCAAATGCACACCCCATAGCCGCTCCTAACCTATACCCTATACTATAAACTCTCAACACCAGAAACCGTAACCCTACTTGGAGGTTCATGGGTAGCTATAAGCAGTGTTATAGGTCCCTAAATATGAGTTATAAGTATAGTTACCCTACTTATATCCCTACTTATATCTACCCTAAACCCTAAACCCTACTTATAACCCTACTTATATCTACCCTAAACCCTAAACCGAACCTCCGAGTAAAGCACCCAAAGCAAGAAACCCGCAGAGTGCCTGCCCCGGCGCTGCTGCTGGCTGCGCTCCCTGCTGGGACTGGTTGCGGCGGGCACCGTAGCCTCAGAAGCACAGGGAGGCCTCGGGTCCCAAAAAGGGATCCTTTAAGGGATCCCCTAAAGAGATCCTCTCAGGGATCATAGATGTGAGGTGGGTCTTAGGGTTGATGGGCCATAGGGCTTCAAGGCTTCTAGGGTTCTAGGGTCTAAGGTTGTAGGGTTGTAGGGTTGTAGGGTTGATGATATAAACCCTTCATATGGAATAGACCCTTCTTCCCATAGTTGAGGGTCCTTATTCCTTAATGCAGGGTCTATATCATCAACTCGGGGGTTCTTCGGGTTTAGGCTTTACCCAGAGGCCCCATAGTAGTTCCTTTTTGGGATTACCTTATAGGATTCTACATACCAACCCCCCAAAAAAGGAACTACTTTAGGGCCTTTGGGTAGGTCCTTCAGGGCTCCTGGAGACTAATCTGCGTCAAAGGGCTTGGGGCTATGGGCTGAGAATTTATATGGGTGGTTGTCAAAATTAGGGTCCCTTTTTGGGTCCTATGATAGTACGGCACCTAATATGTAGGGTATCCAAAAAGGGACCATACTTTTGACAACTACCCATATAGGGCTGACACTCTGGGATTTCTGTAGGAACTAAAGTCGGGTGCAGAGTTTAGACTGGACATGTGCGCACCACAGTCCTCATATATCTGCACGACCAAGCCATTTAGTGGGCCTCCCCTGAAACCCTGAACTCTATAGAACAGTCTTCAGACAGGTATCTATACCTTTCTCCCTAAACCATAAACCCTAAAACCTAACCCTAAACCCTAGACCTTACAAAACCTTAAACCCTAAAACCTAGCCTTAAAGCGCCAACCTTAAACTCTAAAACCTAAACCTTAAAACCTGGAACTGAAACCTTGGATCCAAAGTTAGAAGTATGGGCCCCTAATCTGGACCCCTAGGCCTTTTTGAGGGAGTTCTAGGTACCCTTAAGAGTCTATATAGGGTATATACTAGGTACGTAAGGATCCCGGGGAAAAGGGCCCATACTAGGGGTCCATGGTTTCAACTGTTGATTCCACCCAAAATGTTTGGTTCAATGGTCTGGGCCTCCGCGACCAGCACTGCCGGTACCAGTCGGAGGAGGCGTGGTAGCAGGCGGCTCACCTCTTGCAAACCTACCTGGCCCCTTTTTGAACCTGCCGTTTTCGAGTTAAAACCATAAATCTTGAACCCCAAACCCTAAACCCTAAACCCCAAAACCCTAAACTCTAAACCCTTAACTCGGGATTCCGTTTTAGCCGGTAATGCGTTTCGATGTTTCGGGGATTAGCCGAAAAGGCAGTGCAAAACTT